GTAACTATAAACACAATTACACACGGCGCAACATTAGGCAAACGTTGTTTCACGCCAGTATTGTGTAAGGTCGTGATATTACTCCACTAGCATCGAACATAGTAGCATCCAACTACTGTGCTAATTAATTAAAATTTTATTGGTGTTGCCACGTAAATTGTAGTCATCATCATCAACAGCCTATAAATGCCCACTGCTGAGCAAAGCCTCTTCTCACACGGAGAAGGTTAGAGCATTAATCAAATTGTAGTATTTACAATATTTACCTACAAACATTTTAACATTATTTTTCATTGCTTTTTTAAATAAAAACTTTTTATTTAACTTTTAACTATTTTTAACATAATGTAATTTGGATTATTATAAAGTGTACCCAATCCGTTGTGTTGAGCACCCAGTAAATGTGAATTGCCAAAAATTGAGAGGCTATGTAAAGTCATTTAAGATATATGTATAAATAATCAAAATAAAATAAATATTGTCTACGAATGTTATAAAGTTGTGTTAAGGAGTTAGTGAATTAAATATTAGGTGCTCCAGAGCGCTATGTAGAAACGAAAATACTCAATTTGTTCTTTTGTAAATGTAATTTAAAATAATGGTCTACTCGTATAAACACACTGAGAAAAGCTCTACTATTTTCGCACTTGTGTGCGGTCATGAGTAAGAGCCCCTCTGTGACTCGAAACTAGTAGAGATTTTCTCGGTATATTTACGTGAGTAAACTCTTATTTTTGTAAATCTATTTTAGATGATTTCAAAATCAGGTAATGTAAAAAAATATACAGTAATATTACCTTATACAGTAGTGAATGAGACTGAACAGAAAAATACTTCATTATGTTCCTATTCAGTGCCACGTTCGTAGTGTGATTTCGCGATCGTTGTGTGACTCCCAATTAGTAGTCTAAGATTCTCGTACGGAAATGTTAATAACATTTTTTACATTGTCAAGAAAAATTAAAATCAAGCATATGAAGTTCGAAACGTTTTATTAAGTAGGTACAATATAATATTAATTGTTAAAATATAATAATGTCGTGTTACGTATTAAGAGGTATCTTTTTTTAAAGTTACGTGAATTATAAGTAATTTGTGACACAAAGTCAAAAGAATGTTGTTTTATTTTATGATTATTGTCATTTAACTATTTTTAAAACTACCGACTTCAACCTTCTTTTATTTTCAATTTAGTATTTTTCCTAGAACCTACTCCTAATTATTACAAATACGTCTATGAAAAAAAAAATTTGCATCAAACTAGATTCCGCTAATCGTGAAATAATAGCGGATACTCCTTAGAATAGGACCCAGAACAGAAGTTAAAGCAAAATATTCAAAATCCTACTTAAGCGGACCTCTTTATCATATTAGCTCTAATCTTTCATTTCAGTTCAATCAGATCGACAACCTAAGAAGATTTATAAAGTCAAAGCATTTATTTCAATTAAACCATAATTTGGTACTTTTGAAACGTCAACAAATACAAAATAAATATTAGTCTGTCAGTCAGTCCGTCAGTGAATCTAGGTGAAGCTAGGTGCTTATTCCAAAAAGTAGTTTTGAATAGAGAAGAAGGAGCAGAAACTCCATTCGATACTCTTTTTAAAAAGTATATTCTACAATGTCTCTAATACATATTCCAATACTGTACGTAGATGTGAGAACAATGCAAAAACACGCTTGACGCATTATAGTAATTACGAAACTTACTAAAATAAAAAAAATACAAAAAAATATTAATATAGTCTAACATGGTGCTCACATATATACTGGCAATCTATAAAAATAGTCCTTCATACAAGAAAAAGAAAACTCTTTGTTTCAATAAAGAAAGAAATGCTCGATGCCATAAGGAAACTAGATTGTCTACATTAGAATTAAAGTATTAAATTATGTATTATATTACCTACTATTGGAATAGATTTTTCTAAAGAGATTCTTTTGAAAAATCACGCACGAGTTTGAGCACGCACCTTAATCAGCAAGGCATTCCACAACCGAGCCGTTTTAATAGTGAAGGAATTACCAAAAAAGGAAGTGGAGTGCATACTAATATTTAAATTAAGATTGTCTGATGATCTCAATAACCTTGTATCTGTGTCATCAAGGAACTGAAAACGTTTTTTTAGATAAAAAGGGGCAGCAGGATTGAAGAGTATATTGTAAAGTAATGAGAGAATATGAGCATTCCAGCGAAGTCGAATAGGTAGCCATTTGAGTTTTTTTCGAAAATCTGAAACGTGATCATATTAGCGCAGTCCAAATATAAACCTGGTTGATAAATTTTGAAGACGCTCAAGCTTATCTAATTGTTCCTGGGTGAGATCGAGATAGCTGGCATCAGCTTAGTCGAAGATCGGCAGAAGAAGAGATTGAGCAAGGGCAATTTTTGTATAAGTTGGCAAAAAATTCTGGAGACGCCTCAGGAAGCCCGCCGAGGCAAACACTTTCCGGCTAACGTCCTGCAATTGTTTGGACCATGACAGCGTATTGTCAACGTAAATCCCCAAGTTTTTTACATCTCGAGAATAAGGAATTTTTGTAGTAAGCAAAGAAACCTGGGGTAAAGTTGACCAGTCAATTTTAGAGACAGACCTTGAACTACCGACGATAGTCACTAGCGTCTTTGACGGATTTATTTGCAGTCCGAAATTACTGCTCCACTCGCCTATCCGGACCATGCCGCGGTTGATTACCGCTATTGATTGTTGTCGCAGCTAAGGAGTTTGTTTTTGGTAAGGAACATACTAAGCTTAAGATGGACCAACTTTTCCAGGATTTTGGATAGGAAAGGAAGAATGGATATAGGACGATAGTCTGAGAAAGTGACAGGATTTGGTTTCTTAGTTAAGGAATCACGTGAGCTGCCTTCCAAACCTGCGGGAAAACGTTACTAGACTGAGGAATTAAAGACAAAAACAATGACAGGAACAATTTGGTCAAGAATAGTTATGATCATCTTCCGGCTAACACAGTCACCACCAATGGCATTAGATGTTGTAGATAAGATGGCTCTCTTAACATCACACTCGGTGAATTGACTTAAGACAAAGGGGGCAGAATTTGGTATCGGGAGTAAAGAAAGATAGTTTAATGTAGCAGCTTTGGTTGCCCCGTCTAAAATGGGCGAGGATATGAAGTGATTATTTAATAAGTTAAGGTCTACATTTGGAAAAGAGTTTTGAGTAGACTTTCCGATACCAAGAGATTTGAGAAATTTCCACACTTTGGCTGGATCACTGTTTTCAACCGAGCTGTGAATAAACCGGCGTTTAGCGTTCCTAATAACCTTGTTGCAATAATTCCTGATTTTTAGGTATTTGAGTCTGTTGCTTTCATTTTCTTGGATTATATATATATGATATCAGTATCTTAATATCATTCGTGAGCCAAGGCGATGGTAGGTGTCTGACCCTAACAGCCTGGACAAGCGCGTGCTTGTCATACAGCTGAACTAGGGTATTAGTCAAAAATTCAGCCTGTTCATCAACCGACGTAGATTCGACCAGGGGCGTCCAGTCAACGTTGCCAGCATCTTCCCTAAGGCGCTCCAAATTCATACCTTCAAAATTGCGACGATAGAGTGTTTTCGACTTATGCCTAGGAGGACGAATTTTATAGGAAGAGTAGATTAAATCATGATATGAGGAAGCGTCAGCTGAACACTGCCCATGTTTAGCAACGAGATGAGGGGAAGAAACTAAAATTAGATCAAGAAGTGAAGGAACAGAGTGAGGGAAGTGGTGGGTTGGGTCAAGGTCAAGGTAAGAAAGATTCACCGAGTTAATGACACGAGTTAGAGATGTGGAACGTGTATCATTTTTAAGGAGACAAGTATTAAAGTCCCCTATTATAATACAGTGCTCATATGTGGGAGTCAACGCTTCCAAGAGTAGTTCGAAGGAGGAAAAGAAATTAATACGAAGAGAAGGACAGTAATAGACGCCAAGAAGGACCTTAGTGTGGTGAAGTTCCACCTCCAGAAAAAGGTGCTCACCAGCATTCGTTGGCGGGGGCTGTGCGGACATACTTAAGACTGTACAGGAGAGATAGTTTCGGAGATAAATGGCCATACCGCCCCCGCCCCCAAACGCACGATCATTCCTTACTAGATTAAAACCAGGAAGAGAGTAAGCGGAAGATGGGAGACAAGGTTTCAGACAACCATGATTCAGACACAAGAATTGCATGAATGTTGTTTGTTATCGAAAGTTGCCAGCATATCAGTGTAATGAGCCGGAATACTCTGAGCGTTGATGTGGACTACATTGAAGTTACGCGATGCATCAGAAAATACGGAAACCAGTGTATCAGTTAAAGACGGAATACTATAGAAGCTTTCGTCGTCACGAGTTAAAAATGAAAAAGAATCTGAGTCATTGTTAAAACTAGAATTCAGCATGGGTGTTAGTAAAGTGTTATGTAGTAAAAATAAAAATATAATGTATATCTATAATGAGTAATAATAAAATATAATGATGACAAAGTCTGTTGGGTCCGCTAGTATATAAATATAAAATTGAAACTCGTTTCCCGTTGTCATACCACTTGAGAACGGCTAGTTAGACCGATTTAGCTGATTTTTTTATTTTGTTGTGTTTGTTATTATGAGGAGAAGGTTCTTATGACAGAAAAAAATCCTGAAAATCCTACAGGAACCTGAGAAAACGGAATTGCGCGTACGAAGTCGCGGGCAGAAGCTAGTAAGTTATATATATTTAGATTTTCGTTGTTATGTATTGTATAGTTTTAGAGGTATATACACATCTACCTCTTACAACATATTGCACGCCATCTACCGCGTACATGTCTGCATTACTCAAAGAATGACGCATGAGGACGATAGACAATACTGTTAGCGTTAAGTCCTCCGATAAGCAACTGTATAATGAGGAATATAATATAAGTAATGTACCATGCTTGTAATGATTCATATAGCTAAGTATAATTAGAATCACGGAAACAATTCCGTCGTCAGTCGCATCAAAGTAACTAAAATGAGACTACTTGTGTTTCTTACAACAATTACTATAATATTAATTTGTGATGTAGAATCATTCGATTACAGGCATCATGTGTACCAAATAATGCTTGAAAACAACATAACGTTGCCAAAAAAGACTTACATACGACGAGATTATGGAAATATTACCAGATATTGTACAAATACCACAAAAAAGTGTATATGGAAATGTTGTAACTTCGGAGAATCAGTTGAAGACAAGCGATGTATTCCCGCCAAACACAACTTCAACAACAACACCAAGGACAATCTATCAATACTAAATGATGTACTTATATATGATTCGAAAGGGCTACGGACAGCTAAGACTCTCCAAGATAAATTCCACTTAGTTCCAAATCATTTTTCTAATGAAGAGTTCAGAATGAATTCGCTTGCATTAAATATATATTTTGAAATATATTTATCAGAGGTGAGTGTTTCTTAATTATATTCATCTAGCGCGCGGCCCACCTTGACTTTGCGGTGCAATGCTGATCAGTGGCGGAGCCACGCCAATACTGGTGGCTTGTGATTGCATGGGGTCCCTTTTTTTTTTTTTTTATGGGGGGAAATCCTCATGGACTGCCTCCGCCTGGGGAAAGGCGGAGGGTGTGCCGGACTCTTACCGGCTAAAACCACCCCAGTGTCTCCTCACACGTGCGTGCGGGGCCACGGGAGTCCAAATTCATCCGCAGCCCCGCATTACAGTGCCGGCCCGTATGTCAGGGCCCCGTCACCTGCACGGAGCAGTGCACCACGTGCATCGCCTCAAAGGCGCACGCCGACACCCGCGCGCGCCTTCGACTCGGGTCTTTGAAGTCGGGGGCGAGGACTTCCCCAAGTCCTTCGCCCCTGGACCCATTTATGGGGGCCGGAAGAGGGCGTTGTCGGCCCTTCTCCTACGCCCGGTGCGCCTTCTGCGGTTGGGAAAGGAAGTCAGTAAGATCTCCCTCTCCCGTTCCGCAGTTTCCTTCTGCGACATCACATCCTCGCAGAAAGACACCACCGCGTCCCATGACTCTGCGCTGTCCACCATCTTCCGCACTACGGCCGGCAGCGACAGATCGCTTCCTACTTCATTTCTGAGGACACGGCGCTGCTCCTCCCAAGCTACACACTCGGCGAGCGTGTGTTGCGCCGTGTCCTCCCCGCAATGGACGCAGTGGTGGCACCGGGCGTCCGGCTCCCTCTCTATGCGGCACAGGTACTTGCCGAAGCAGCCGTGCCCCGACAGCACCTGCGTCACTCTAAACGACAGGGAGCCGTGCTTCCTCCCGAGCCAGTCGTCGAGTACTGGCCGGATCGCCTCGACGGTAGCGAGGCCGGCGGTGGGGCGCAAAAGCCTTTGCCGCCATTCCGCCACCAAGACCTGACGGAGCTCCTCTCGGCGCCGCTCGATTTGGCGCTGCACCAGCCTCGAGCCCCGTGTCCGCTCTTCCTCGCGCCATCGGTATAGTGACGCGAGTACTTTCGCCTCTAGGTCCCAGGGCGGGGATCCGGCCAGGACGCAAGCCGCCTCATAGGAAATCGTGCGATACCCGCGGACGACTCTGACAGCCATCACCCTCTGCGGTTTTTTCAGAATAGCGAGAGTGTTGGCCGTCAAGTCTAATGCCCACACAGGGGCCCCGTACAGGGCCATGGATCGCACGATTCCCACATACAGCCGCCTACAGGCGGCGCTCGGGCCCCCCAAGTTGGGAAGCAACGTTGAAAGCGCGCCCGTCGCACCCATCAGTTTGGGCGCCAGCCGCCGGAAATGGGGTCCGAATTCCCATCGGCTGTCGAGCACCAATCCCAGATATTTCATGGTGGACTCGACAGCTATGCGAGCTCCGCTAACCACGATTTGCGATCCCGGCGCTGGCGCACGTCGGGGGCCGTGGAACACCATGGCCTCCGATTTGTTCAGGGCCACCTCCAGGCCCAGGCGCCGGATGCGGTTCACAACCTGTGACACCGCACCCGTGGCTATCAACGTCGCCTCCCTATGCGAGCTCCCCCGGGCGGTTACGAGCGTGTCGTCCGCATAACACGTCAAGTCAGCGCCCAAAGGGAGCTCACCTCTCAGCACCCAGTCGTACCCAATGTTCCACAGGAGCGGCCCTAAGACTGATCCCTGTGGAACACCGCAAGACATGAGGTGCCGACTGACACCGTCACGTCCCCGATAGGTGACACACCTGCCCTCCAAAAAAGCCCCTACTATACGGCGGAGGTAGAGAGGCACGCGATGGTATTTTAGTGCCTCTCGAATACAACTCCAGGGTAGGGTATTGAATGCATTGGAGATGTCCAAAGACACTGCCAGTACCACCCCACCCTGGGACACCGTCTCTTCCACCAGGGTCCTCACGCGCATGATGGCGTCTATGGTGGAGCGCCCCTCACGGAAACCAAATTGGTTGTCGTCCAGGTTCGGTCCTTCTCTGCACAAGTGGCTCACGAGGCGATTTGCGATAATACGCTCGAAAAGTTTGCCCGCCTCGTCGAGCAGCACTATGGGCCGATACGCGGATGGCGAGTCCGCAGGGCGCCCCTCCTTCCTGAGCAGGACCAGTTTTCCCTCCTTCCACACACTGGGGAACTGACCTCGCTCGAGACATGCCGTGAGAAGCCCCCTCAGCTGGGGCTCTAGAACCTTCATAGCCAAGACGAGAGCCCGACCAGGAACGCCGTCGGGTCCGGGCGCTGTGTTCTTAGCCCGAAGTCGCAACACGGCTGCTCTCGTCTCTGCTTCTGTCACCTCGGGGACGTCGGTGGTCTCTTCTTCGGGACAGTCTGTAGCAGACGGCGAAGCCATCACCGGGGGAACGTGCTCTGCTCGCTCTGGGAAGAGAGCTGATACAACTGCCTCTAGCAACTGGGGTTGCATACTCTGGGCTAGTGGAGGCGCCCAGGGACGCAACTTGCCCCGTACCCAACGGTAGGGCCGCCCCCAGGTCCCTAATTCAACTGGGCCCAGACAGGTCTCAGATGACAGATTAAAAACATACTAATTCAAAAAATTGATGATTTGTATCAAATTCCTATTGTTAATATCCACGATTTCGAAGAAGCCCTTTTCTATTTTTTGCATTGATGCCCAAAAAGGTTAGTTACCAAATTAACCTTAATGGCACCTCAAGTATGAAGCAGTATCTATGAAAATACTCATTCAAAATTCCATGCTGTAAAGTATTTTCAATTGGATAAGGTAAAGATTAATGCTGGATTGTTTAAAATTGCTTTATAAATAAGCCATTATTTACAGTAATAAGTAAAGGATAAAACGTGATTATTGTGGTTTATCCCTAAGAGATAGAAATATGTTATCGCGGACTTTTTGCAGACCATTATTAGTGTACAATACTGTAGTACATTAATTTATCAGTGTTTCTGTCCTATATTATGTATGTGTTACATACACAGATATAATTTTTTATATTTCTGTGGTTACTCACTCTATTAAAAAAAAACCGCATCAAAATCCGTTGCGTGGTTTTAAGGATTTAAGCATACATAGGGATATGGGATAAAGCGATAAAGATATCTATATAAAGCAACTTTGTTTCTTTTTAACCTTTTATTCGTATAACAAAATATTGCCTTACATTACGGAACCTAACTTAAACATTTTTTATTAATTAAAGGGCATTGACTAAAATTGGTGCCTTTCTTTTTTCTGGCGGCAGTCAATGATTTATGGAAAATATTATCTAGAATGACATTATAAACGAAATTGTCTATGGGCTCATATATGGAAATCTCAGTCTGGACTGAGTTATGATTGTTTAAAGGAGCTGGAGCCAAACATTTTACTTCGGTTTTTTTTATTCATAATAACAAAAACATAAAATATAAAATAAGTAAAAAGTCCACAATAAGCTTTATTATATTCCTTGAAATCGTTTAAACATTTATTACAAAATATTTCTGACAAGTAAATGAAGAAATATGCGTTGTGTATGGTCACCATCAACAAAATAACAGGAATAATATGGCAGTATTTTCACATCTTTGAACCGATTTAACTCGGTTTGGACTGTGTTTTTGATGTAAGAGCCCGTATATTTTTTTGTTTGTAATGTTATTCTGCATCAGTTTTTCCACATCCGATCAACTGCCGCGAAAAAACGAAAAGGCACCACGCTCCATACAAATTTGGTCATTGTCATTTTAGCGCATATTTGATGCTTCTTCATTTTTTGTAAATCCGTTTGCCAGTTGACAAAGGCCTCCTCCAACCTACTCCATTCGGATCTTTTTCTATTCAACTCTATGTTTTTCCAGCGACCTGCTTAATATCATCGCCCCATCTTTCTTGTTGTCTTCCTCTTTTCCTATTACCTACCTTGTTTTATACTATGTAGTTATCGTTGTTGCAATGTACCGAAATCAGTCTTAGTTTTGTTATGTGGCAACTAACAACATTTTTGATGCATGTTTTCAGGATGGGGTGTTATTCTATGACATAGACAACAATGGTTACAGTAATGTTAACGTATTTGATAAAATAAGCGTAAACAATTTTTGTATAGATGAAGAAAATTACGTAATCAATTTCTTTGTTGACTTTGGTAATGAACACGTAACACCGAAACCAGATTCATTATATTACAGAACAGTTGGTAATTCATTTAATAAATAATGTTAAACGTTCATTTGTTAATTAATGATGGGATAAGTGAAAAATGTATTTTGTAAATGAGGTAAAATTAAGTACTTAAATTATAAAATGTTTCAGCGCATATACTGTGTGTAATATTGGTGACGTCTGTCCTAGTAATGTATTGTGTCCGCCCACATCTCCGGGACCTCCACGGAATGTTAGTGATGACTCTCCTCTGTTGCTACCTCGGCAAAAGTATTATAGAAATACACCATATCGTCTTTATTCACGTTATTAGCCGAAAGATTGTCTTGCTTATGGGTAAGAAAGTTCATTTATTTCAATTTATTCATTGTGTTTCTGTTGACTTTGAATCCTTACTAATATTATAAATCTGAAAGTGAGTTTGTTTGTTTGTTTGTTCCGACTTCACGCCTTATCTACTAAACCGATTGCTTTGAATTTTTGCAGACGTAAAGTTAGAAGTCTGGATTAGATAATAGGGTACTTTTTATCCCGGAAAAATTTTATATTTCCGAGGGAAAACAAAAGTATTGGTATAGATGGCGCTGTATGTATTGGTATATGTCACATAGGCTACTTTTTATCCTTTTGTGACGCGAGCGAAGCCGCGGGTAAAAGCTAGTGTATAATAAATATAATAAAAGAATGTACGGGTGTGATTTTCTTCACACACACATGTGCACGCTGTGATGTCATATACACATGTTAAATCAACTTCAAATATCTATGTGGTTTTTCAGAAACATTGCATATCTTCTGTAATTTGGCAACATATTCATTGACCAATGTGATGTTCCATATTGTATGGAAATCAATAAAGTAAGTCGACTTGTGTATATCCAAACACTAGGATTAAAATTATAAGAAAATACGTCCGATCATATTATATATTGTATTTTGTTTATTAACATAATTATTTAAGTCGAGAGTTTTTTTTTGTCGATTCTTCTTAATTTATAATTTTGTTTTTATGACGATTCTCATTAGTATATGAGACACATATAGAACATGGAAAATTCCCCAAACTGATCAACATTTGTTTATTTTCAGATTAGGAGGAAACACAATGAACACGCGTCGAAATAAAATCAAACAATACATCAAGTACATCGCGTATGCTTTTGGTCTTCCTCTGATTCTAACTTTAGCAATTTTATATATAAATTCAGTGGACATGAGATCTATTTCGTGGTTTATTACACCTAAAATGGACAGTATACTCACTTGCACAGGTGAATATGAAAAGGAAAAGATTAAAATTCTTCATGTTCCTAAACAGCGACGTTAAGGTGCTCCCACATTGCAGTTTTATAACGTTAGAGACTGAGTTAACATTTGTTTCTAAACAAATTACAACAAATTTGTAGTAGAAACTTGACACGTTGAAGAGTATATTACAAAATGTTATCATGATACACAATGTGATATAGCAAATGTTATACAACTGCTGTGTGGGAGCACCTTTACCTAAATAGATTAATAACTATTTTCTCATTGCAAATCAGGAGAGTCTTAAGGCCGTCACACACCTGTTATTTACAGGGCGGTTGGTGCATCGTGGCCCAAATTGAAATGGTAGACTGAAGGGGTCATCTGCAGTGTTACTTTTAATGAATCAAGATGCCGTATTTTTTATATCATAATTTTCAATGCCTTAGGCAGTCACCCTATCGAGTCCGATTTACAATTCTAGAGGTCAAAAATCCCAACGACCAACTAGTAAGGTATGCAAGAAAGAGATAAAAGCTAGATTTTACAGCGCAAGAGTGAGAAATCAAATTTTACCTCTTTCTCAAGTAACAGGTACTAAATAAAATGTTTTCATTCCAATTTGCTATGTAGTATTATGTGACTTGGTTCACAATTCCATTGAATCCACAAAGTTGTCAAAAAAAATTATGGCATCATTAAGAAAAGAATAGAATTAAGATTCCGGTCGCTTTTGGTTTTGTTTTTGGAGCCATGTAAACAGCTGTAACATGTACGTAGGTACATCTTTTTTTATTTTTTCGTTATATTTTACTTTAACTTTAGTTTTGCGTTCGAGAGTTTATAAATGGTTAATGTCACTAATTTTGTATTTACAATACACAGAAAAATAAAATAAAAATTCAAGGTTTACGCTTGTACTTTTCTTAAAATTTGTATTTAAATGTAAAATTTGGGTGATTTTTTGTAAGAATAAAACGCTGATACCAAAACCACAAGGTGTTATGAAGGGCTAGCAGACGACCCCTGCTCTGTCGACCGTTTTAATTTGGCACACGATGCACCAAACACCCTGTATATTAATGTATATTATAGTACAGCTAGCTATCACAGGCTGAGCTATAATATAAAATATACTAGCTGTTATCTCCGTGTTCGTCCGCGTAAAATAATGACTTCTGATAGAAATTCGGTTTTTAAATTAGTCTTTGCCAAGGTATATTCTACAGCTGTACGACTGTAAACGATGTCATCCGTATCGATTTAGTGCTTATTTATTGCGAAAAGAATTTATTTTCGTGGTTTCAAAAATAAACAAATCCTGACACAGGTTTTACCCGTACAGTGCCCGTCTCGTGCGATTTCAGTGATAAAAACTATTCTGTTAGCAAATCAATGTTCTACTGAATTTCAATCAAATAGATATAGTTACTTGAAAGATAGAGAGTGCCGGGATTTTTGCAACGCAAACTTCCTGTCAGTCGTCCGTTTTCAGATAAATCGTGATAAATATTCTTATTCTTCTTAAACTTCCACATAAAAGGTAGATATGTGCTGTCGCGGCCTTTTCTTCAGAACTAATCAAGACAAAAAATCTTACAGTACATTATGTTGTAGAACTCCTATGGTTTAGGCAGCGTACGCCCAGATAGATCTCAGAGGCCCGATTTAGTTCCAACGTCAGCCATATTATTTATTGGCATACTTTTTGACATCGATCTCAATTGGGGTTTTTTGCAAGTGAATTGTGGATTGTAACCAACATTTTGTGTTATATAACGCCTAAAATAACATACCATAATTATAAATGCCTATTCTGGTGCATGACCTACATTACTGTATAGTTTCATCTAAATCCGATCAGCAGTTTTTGCGTGAATCAGTAACAAACACCTCCACACATTCACATACGTCCTCATAAACTTTTGCAGTTATATTATTAGTAGGAAGTAGGATGGCTAGGTGTTTGGCAGCCTTTAGCCTTTTCTATCTATTAAAAACGCATTCATATATTTAAGAAACTGATTCTAACTCCGGCCCACTATAACACCATGACAAATAGGTACTCTTTTCTTATTTCAGGAAAGGAGATGATTGTGTACATCTATATCCCCGGGATGATTTTGTTCTTGTACAATATATTTTTATGTTGTTTAATCATACCAAAGGTGTACGAAGGATTTTTCGGCAGTCTTATAATGACTTATACTTACAACGACGCGATCAAATATGACGTAATAAGGTAAGACGACAGAACGCTTCTTCTATTTCTCTCTTTTTTCACGACGCCATTCTTGGCAGACCGCAGCCATTCTTGCACACTTATGGACAGGGCAGTTAGCAGCGCTAGTTGTCGCCTTTGTTTGATGATGATGAGATCATCGGGGTTCTACCACGCGTTAGTACCCCAACCTTTCCCTGTACTACCAGACACTCCACGCAGTAATTATTGCACAGTGATACATGGCCAAATAAACTGATAATGGGTGCCTGAATCGTCGCCGACAAGCAATGTTTGATACCGAATTTGTTCAATATCGACGCATTAGTTCGGAAGTCTATTCACGACACTCCAACAATTCTTCTCCAACACCACACCTCTACAACCTCTACCCTTTTTGGCTGTTCAAGTCTTCATTTTTTAATTATCTATGGTTTTAAGAACTTTACGTTCAGGAACATGTCAGCCTCGAACTTATTCATGGACAGTTATTTGAATGATTTGAAAGTAGGCGAGTGTGGATTAAGAATGAATTCCACAGTGATCAAAACATTGTTAGGGGGGTACGGTGACCAGATACTTGTTACCTCATCGGAAGAAGATTTACAACAAATACCTAATCACTGTGATGAATGATGCATTCGAAAGGAAAGGTATGAAAGTAAATGTGAGCAAGACAAAGGAGATGGTGATAGAAAGGAATGAGGTCATAACAGAATTTGATAGGTGACGAAAAATTGGAACAAGTGAGTGACTTCTTATTTCTGGGATCCCTGTTTACGAGATAGAAAGTGTGAGGGGGATATTGAAAGGAGCGTGAAAACAGAAAATAGTTGCAATGGTGCCTTACACTGGTAATGTCGAGATAAATTCTATCCAACAAAGATAGACTTGCTGCAATATAGTGTATATTGACACCAACGCTTATGTATGGTACAGGGCAGAAGAAGACAGCAGGATTAATGCGGTGAGAGCCCTAAGACGTATGTATGGAGTAAAATTGATTGATCGACTGAAACATAGTGTTATAAGAGCAGGGTGTGGATTGAAAGATGTTGTAGTGACAAGGATTGAAAAAGGATACGATAGTTTGGACATGAAGAAAGGATGGATGAAAGCATATTTACGAAAGAAATAATACAGAGCGAATAAAAATAAATAGTAAAAGTACCCTTAACCGACGAGTATGCATGAAAAGACTGATGACTGTCTACCTACCCCATGGAAGCCAGGCGTGAGGTTATGTATGTATACAGGATTAAGGCAAAATTAAAGATCTAATCAGCCTGTTGTACAAATTTTACTTTCTTTCTATTTCCCTTCCCCACAGGAAATTACATACTATTGTTTTTTGCAGTTTCTCGCAAAATATGAAACTTATGACGTTCATGACAATCTCGGAGACTGCGAATGCTTACAGTACATGGAACATGACGCTGTACGGAATAGTATCAACAAATAAGTGGCTGTTAGGAGTTGTCATTGTACTCATATTTCTACATGACAGTAATGCTAAAAGAAAATGTCCTACAACTCCTGTACGCCAGAATATGCTGAGCATGACGGAGATGCAATGAAAGCAATCAGAAAATGTACCATTTGAAGATATCTAAGGTTACAATACACTTTCACTGTTCTTTATTTTATAGGAGACAAGAGAAATTGCATTTATATTCATAGATATGTACAACAGAAAAAGTTTAAAAACTGATAGATCTAAAATATACTAGGCTACTAAGAATAGAAATTTGTTCGCGATTTCACTCTAACGAAAACGAGCCACTTTAGTCTTTCTTGCGTGGCCATAGAGCAACTATCAACGTCTTCAGAATAAGTCGTCGATAAGTGGAACCATCCTTTCATTACTACATACCTTGTAGGCTATAATGGTTGGTTTAAGGAAAATACATTATCCACAACCACTACGCAATACCAGTCCTATGAAAAGTATAATTATTTTAAGTTTTTATGTTATTACTGTAATAAATTGGATTATAAATATTATTATAATAAATTGTATTATTGTTACACCCGTAGAACGTAGGAAGAACCCCTCTGCGGTTCGAAACTAGTAGAGCTTTTCTCAGTATATTCACGTGAGTAACCCGCGATTTTACTTAATTATTACACCCTCCCGAAAAATAGATAAGTACGTAAAGCAATACGAAGACTATAATTGGGGGCCCAGTGAACACATTATTTATAGGGGCGGAGGGGCCGAGAGTAGACTAGGCCAACAATCTTTATGTGACTAAAGCCTAACTAGCCTAAGCCTTCATTATCGGACTGTAAATATGATTTCTATGTGGCTAATGCGCGCATTTCACTATGAATCCAAGTGCGGTGCGATAATTTTATTGCTCGCTAAAAAGTCGTAGTGTGTACTTAGGTTAAAAACGACTGAGGAGGAAGAAAGATATTGGCAACAAAAAAAAGCTCAAGCTGACCACGATCGTCAGAGATGAAGCACCGAACTAGCTGAGAGAGCCTTGCAGTAAGTTTAATGAATAAAATAAAATAGTGGTGCTGTGTTCCGGACGGCCGGGATGCTGCGAGCTGAGCTCAGGCGTTGCCACGGTAACGGAGGACGGAGCTGCGGGGGCGCGGGGTGATAGAGGTGCAATGCACTGCGAAGAGCCTCAGATCAATATTTTGCATACCTACCTAATTATAAACATCGTGAGCAAGTAGTAAAGCTGAATTAATAATAATGAAAATATGCTAAATGGTATTTTTTAAATTGGACTAAAAAATTGAATAGGAAGTAGTGGAAAAACAGAATAGACAGAATTCCGTTTTTCTAGTTACATAAGTAACATAACATAACATCACTCCTTTTACTCCCGAAGGGGTAGGCAGAGGTGCACATTATGCCACTGTACAATGTAACACCCACTTTTCACTATTCATGTTATGAGTCCTATGTGAGATAGTCCTATCCAAAATAGGTGGTGAGCCTATTGCCATATACCGGGCATCTGTAAATGAGACTACTTTTTGAACAGGTAGGTACCTATGTAAATAAAAGAGTGCTAAATATATATTTGCAACAAAAAGACAACTGTATGTTCTGGAAACATAAAAAAGTACGTCACCACAAACTTTAGCAAAAAAATGAATAAACAAAGATGAGGATGATAAAAATTAAAGAGCAATAAATAAACCAGTATTTTGTATTTTTCACATATTATAGCTTTAATATTTTTATACGTAGCATGAATATTTACACAAAAGTAGTTTGTAGATCTTTTAGTATCTAAATCTTTGATATTTTATTTCTGTAGGACTTATAGTTCTCAGTTCGCCCGTAATTTATTTTTCAATAATATTTTTGGGCACATTTTTTTATGTTTGATTGTCCGACGTTTGACCACTATCTCGCCTGGCGGTAAGCTACGATGGAGCACGTTCTCTTACTTTTGCAAAGTGTTTCATTCTACTAGGTACTATTGAATATTTGTATATCAAATTTTTCAGATGTGCACTCTTCTAAGCCTAAGTACTCAATAGTACTTAAAAACTTACTACCATTTGATATTGTTTCAAAATTGCACGCCTAAAGAAGCCTAAACAACAATTGGGTACTTTCCTTAATCCAAAATCAATTATTTAGACTGTAAAAGACAATTAATTATTAAAAAATAATCACACTTTCATTAATTGATTTTATGACCAACTTAGAAGTATTTTTCCAGCAAATTTTTAAGAAATATGTATGCTGTTTGGCGCTAAAAAACATGACGATACAATACACAATCTCGTATTACAAAATTCATAAAAACCTGTAATTTTTAACAGTTCGAAAAAGTATTAAATCGACAATTGGACCCGAAATCCGTTGTTCACAAGATGGATAAGCAGTTGCAGTTGTAATCAGTCAAACGACGAGCTTATAAAAAAAGTAAAAGTAAAGGTCATCGCACACATAATAGGCACGCCTCCGGCACGGACCCGGCACGGCAATTTTTGTTTTGGAAACAATACAAGGCTGTAAGCGCGCCGTCGGCCCATCGACCCACGGGCGGCGCGCTTACAGCTCTTTTTAATATAGACGTTATGAAATATATGACATACGGATTTAAAGTTAATATTTGAATGAAAGACATTGCCGGATTGAAGCCGTACCGGAGCCGAGCTTGTTACTTGTGCAAAGACCTTAAAACAACACATTTAAAATTGATATAAAAATCACTATCGTCATTTATTATATTACGATATTACTTATGCATTTTATTATTTAATAGAAAAATAAATAAATATGTGTAACTTAAAATAAATTAAAACTAATGAAGAAAAGAAAACTAAACATGATTATATACAGGGAGCATCAAAAAGTGATCTTAATTAAGATTTAACGAAGTCCACTAAAATAAAAATTAAACATAACTGTTATATGCGTATGCATATTAGTCAACAAACGGTTACAAAATGATCGAATAAAAATCTAAAATAAAATAATACAATCTTCTTCTAAGTCTGGAAGACAAACAAATGAACCACTATATAGTTTTCCTCGTATATTCCATAAACAATAAAGTGTAAGGAAAATAACAATTAATTTGTTTGTTTGTTAAGTATTCACATGTACTAGTCAGTAGATTGTGATAGCGACCTGCTCTAACTTTGTCCTCCTTCTAGTTATTTACAAAGATCAATTAATGAAATCCTGGTCTGTACTACAATTTCATAAAAACTTTAAAGTCCAATTTCATGGAAACTACATACTGATTTTAATGAAACTTGGTATTAAAATACGTAATATCATCACTAGCCGGAAGACATTGACACTGCTAAACAAAGATTCTTAGTCTAAATCTACATACAATGGCTTCCCGCGACTCTTGAGATTTTTTATACAAGCAGACGGATCACCTGATGGTAAGCAATCGGCGTCACCCATGGACACCCGGAACACCAGAGGCGTTACAAGTGCGTTACGGACCTTTTGGGGATTAGGAATTTGAGGATTGTTAGGGATTCAGAGATTGGGGAAATGGAGCCTCCTCACTCACACGAGGAAACACAACGCAAGCGTTATTTCACGTGGGTTGTCTGTTAGGCCGTGGTATCACCCCGGTCGAACAGACCCATTCGTGCCGAAACATGGCTTTCCCACTCTTAATATCTGACTATACTCATCACAGAAAATTAATATTCTCTAAACACTCTTTGGTAAATGTTTTCAATAATAATAGTGTCTTTATTCAGATAACTGAGATCCAACAAACTAATAGTAAAGGATGAACACAATCGTGCATAGCTGTATAACTACAATATTAATAAGCAATAGTAAACAGGGACTTAGTCCGCTGCACTAATTTTCTGCATCAATGGATCTCTATCAGCTATAGCAGTCAGGATACTAGAGCGACTTCCACACAGGCGACTGATGAGCTATGCGGTATTTTTCTGCCATAAAGCAGCGAATCCATCGGGGCGAACATCAGCAAACATTGCTGACGCACTACAGAGACGTTGAAGCCGCATACGCTGGATCTCTGGGTGTAGTTAACCCACAGACTTCCCGTGTACAGTGAGGTGCAATACGCCTTGAATAAAGTGATTTTGACAGACGAATGCACAACGAAAGAATCTGCGTGCCAACATGTTCGCCCGATCTTATAATGCTCTGCGTTCCCTCTCCATGTCAACAACATGCCACAAACAGCAAGTAACTTCTGGAGAGCCCTAATCGACAGGGCAAGCAACAACTTGTCGTCTGCATAGCTGAAGTTGTTACAGCAGACACCATCAACAAATCAACAACACTACCGGCATGCAAGCAGCTGAGCTTCTCAACCAGAGCATTTACGTACAGGTTGAAAAACAAGCTCAAACCCCCCTGCCTCACCCCACACTCCAACCCGCTCGTATCCGAAAGTTCATCTCATTATTTTTCTGATTGACATACCAATACCTCAGAAGCGACGCAAACTCTGACACAACTGAATATCATAAGCAACTAAATCGAAGGCTCTACTAACGCCTGAAAAACAGACATATGTACACAGGAATACGCGCCTATCTGTGTAGTACTTGACAGTATGTTTCAAAGTAAAATGGCTCATTAGCAGAATCAATACTTTTTTGTAGTACACGTCAATCGATTTTATTGGGTTTGGTTCATTATACACCAAACTTTCATGTGACCTGTCCATGGGGGTCAAGTCTGTACTCCTGGCTAGCCACGGTGGTCCACATCTTCCGATCCACTTATTGGGATATATAGTATCCAGCCACTCTCTGGCACTCCTTCTGAAGCGTTCGGAATAACCATCGTAATGAAACCACATGTCATGAATGAGGTTTAATTGTGTATCGTCGAGCTATTTAGATAGTTATTTGTTCGTTTGGGCGTCTCCATTTCAAGATTCTTCCAAGAATCCTAACTTTTCCCTAGCATGTTATACCTTATTAGAAAGCTGAGAAATTGTAGATATTTTATCATACATCTGCAGAACATCCGCCATAGACTTTTTTTAAATATCTTACTTTGAAAACAATACCTTATCACTAATTTATTTGTGTTTTAATAATCCTTCGTCTACTACGCCTCTGTTGGTACAGTCACTTGCAGTTGTATGGTTTCAAATAATGAAACAACGAATCTTCTATACAAAAATAGCAAAAACAGAACAAAATTGAGACAAAACAAAAAAAAATTGGTGCAGTCGCCAAAATTTGGAATTTTTATATAATAGGTACAAAGGCCGAATAATATAATCTTAAGAACAGTTAAGTTTTGGATATGGGGTTCCTTAGTCAAATCGATCAGGAATAATGAATACTATCACCTCTTAAAAGATTTAGGTCGACTTACCCTGTAACCCTGTATTTATTACCCGGCTTTGTCCTGAACTGAAAATCTAGGAAACACACTGGAGCCCAAACCACTCTTCGAAAAAATTTGAAACTTTGAAGGTGCATTTTTTATATGCCGTAGATGAATAGAATAAGATATTTCAAAATTCACCCCTAAGGGAATCAAAACTAGGGTCAAAGTTTGTATGGAAGAACTTGATTCCTTGGTTCAAATTTAGAATGAAATATCTCTAATAAAATAGTATGAAGGTCTTATTTATATTTTATGAAAACTCAATATCTAACAGGGTCAAATAATATAAATCCTCCTTAGAATCCTGCTTGGCTCAAAATATCATTAAACATTTTTGGTGTTTTAAAATTTGAAAGTTCGAAAATATTTGTGACGGCCATATTTTATTTACTTTTTTAACAATGAGGGCGAAACGATTATGTCATCCGAACATTCTGTCTAGATGTCTTTAGATTATTGTCAAAAGAATCAATTTGAAAAAATATAAAGATGTATTGTGTGAGTATTGTTTGACAAAATCCTTACTAATATTATAAAGCGGAAAGTGAGTTTGTTTGTTTGTTCCGCTTTCACGCCGTAACTACTAAACCGATTGCTTTGAATTCTTGCATACGTAAAGTTAGAAGTTCGGATTAAATAATAGGGTACTTTTTATCCCGGAAAAAAATTGATTTTCCCGAGGGAAAACAAAAGTATTGGTATAGATGGCGCTATGTGTATTGGTATGTCATTATGTCACAGGCTACTTTTTTCCTTTTGTAACGCGAGCGAAGCCGCGGGTAAAAGCTATAGTCAGAATTTTAATTCGATTCCAGATTTGACAATAGCTACTGTCATTTTGTGAAATAATGATACCACATATAATAGTGTAGTGATGCACACAAAAATCGATAAACAATCAGTGTGTGTGTTTTATAATAAATGTTACAGAAAGTGACAGGATAGCGACAGCGATGACGACGACAATTTATAAAATAACTTAATACCATAATACGTCTATCTGTTATATTTGTCATGTTCCTTCGTGATTACATTTTTTTATTTATTTCACGCATAATTATAAAAGAAACGTCTTAGATCGTTAATTAATCGTCAAAACTAAATTATCGGTTCAGAAATATTAAATTTCCTGATATACTTAGTTCACTAGAGTAAAATTATAATTATTATAAACGAGAAGAATCGATCCAGAAATATTGCATTTCCATATCGAATAATTTCGCAACGTCACTATTTAGTACTTGTCATACCGTTGCCACACTGAAATTGTCAAATCTGGAATCGAATTAAAATTCCTAGTATAGTAATTAATATATTTTACTTAACCGAATAAATCCAAATTGCGTATTAATTTATACATAATAATTAAATGTAGCTACATTATTGTATGCATGATACAACCAGACACTAGGTCAATAAAACAACATACTGTATCTACTTTGTTTTTTACAAAAACCTGTATGTATTCTTGAAATTGATCTTTTATCGTCGATCGGCATTTTGCAAACCCAGACGTATTTTGATGTAGCATATTTTGTATATACCACTCTATTCATGTATGTTCTACGATTTTTCGTAGTTTTCGAGATACGATTTTTTTCATTATTTTTTATGATTACACGACCACTTAGGACTTGGCACCAGGTCCATCAGTCGGCGCACAGGGATCCCACATGGAAGAGTACATAGAATTTTACGATTTGAAAGGATCCATCCAAATCATATAAAGAAAGTATAAGACCTACTTCCGGCACATTATCCAAAAAGAATTGATTTCTGTGAAGAAATGTTAAGTCGAGACGCTGAAGATCCCAGTTTTTTTGATAATATTCTTTGGACGGACGAGTCCAAGTTTACTAGAAATGGTGTTTTCAACTTACATAAATATCATTCATATGCAAGAATAAACCCTAATGAAATTCGCCGTGGTCGTGTAATTATAAAAAATAATGAACAAAAAACATATCTCGAAAACTACGAAAAATCGTAGAAGATATATGAGGGATAAATCGATAGGTATTATCATACGTATAGATAGCAGGGTCATCCCCTGCTATCACCTCGCGCCGGCTTGACACCTTAAAAGAAACACCCTGTATATATACAGATAAATAATATGGTAATGTCGGTTTGTAACTCGTTTTTTACTACATTCATTATGAATATGCAGACGATACACATACTTACCATAATATTTTTTTTACAATGTTTGTCTGTCAGTCTGTTTGTACTGGCTAGTTTAAAAGAAATCCCGGGATTTTAACACATAGTTCCGATCCCGTGGGGTTTCCGGGATAAAACTTATCTAGGTCCTTTTTCATGTATCAAACTACCATTGCGCAGAATTTCAGTCTACTAAACCTGTTTAACTGAAATTCTACGCAATAATAGTTTAAAATTTGAAAAAGACCTTGATAGTTTTTTTTTTCTGAAACGCTATGGGAACGGGAACTATGTTTTAAAATCCCTGGATGCTATTTCTTTTAAACTACTGAACCTATTTGACTGAAATTCTGTACATTGATAGTTTGAGACTCGAGAAAGGACATAGAATATCTTATTCCGAAAATCTCACAAGAACGGGAACTATACGGGTAAAACCGACTACACTGCGGGCTAAATAAATCTCGATGCAGATTAGGGTAAAATATATTACAACTTTTATAACGAAAATCCTACGGTAACGAGCCGCGACATCTGTGCGTAAAACTTAGAACTATAATTTTATGTATTTTGAACCACGTAAACTTTTAAATACTTTTATGTATTTTGAACCACGTAAACTACTGAATTGATTGATATCTAATATCATACATCGAAATAGGCATTGGAAAATGGGACAAGTAAAATAATCTAAGTTCTGCCTGATGTTATTAATGCGCGGAACTTCGTCCAGGTCGCGGGCAATAGCTAGTACACAAATAAATAACAAAAAATAAACCATACGCCTAATATTTTAGTGTTGTCGTCATTTACAGGAAAACCACTAACGGAACACTATATAGGAATAATCCTTACTAATATTATAAATCGGAAAGTGAGTTTGTTTGTTTGTTTGTTCCGACTTCACGCCGTAACTAATAAACCGATTGCATTGAATTTCTGCAGACATAAAGTTAGTAGTCTGGATTAAATAAAAGGGTACTTTTTATCCCTAAAAAAATTGATATTCCCGAGGGAAAACAAAAGTATTGGTATAGATGGCGCTGTATGTATTGGTATATGTCACATAGGCTACTTTTTATCCTTTTGTGACGCGAGCGAAGCCGCGGATAAAACCTAGTATACACTATTATACACATAATGTACGTCGTCTCTAACAGGAAACCAGAATAATGCAGTTCATCGTCCATACAAGTTGACAGTGTTTCTACCGACTCGTAACTTATCAGTTCTTAAAACAGTAATGTAAGTTAAAATGCTTTTACTCAAAATCCTGTCGTTTTTATCAGTGTTGTGTATATCAAAGTGTACGGATGACTTGAAAGAACAATGCAAAGACGACTACAGGGATTCAAAAAACATTGCGATCGATATAAAAAAATTTTGTTCTGACGAATGGTGCATACAAAAATGTTGCCCTCTTGATTCCTGCTTTAGTCCTGCCGGTTTTTGTATAAAGATTCAAGATCTCCGTAAGAAAATCAGTGCAAAATTTGAAAACGTATTCACATCAATCCAGAATGACAACATTACCTTCTATTCAAATACGGAGCCTAGACATGAAATTAAAAAACCTTTTAAATACATTATAAACCATAAAAATATGACAAAGTGCGGAGATTTTAAACCATTCGACAGCGAATATTATTTTATACAAGTAAGTGAACAGATTTACTTAATAAATAACCGTTTAAACTGATAACTCAGTTAGTAAAATTTTTATTTTTTTACATAACATAACATCACTCCTTCGCACTTCCAGAGGTGCACATTACGGCACTTAATGCCACTGTACAATGTAACATCCACTTTTCACTATTCATGTTAAGAGTCCCATGTAATAGGGGCTGGCCTATTGCCATATACCCGGGCACTATTCTACACTCCATGCTACTACTGAGATATTAAAAATAAAGACTAAAACTTTGAGATACATTTTTTATATTTTTTTTTAATTTACCTAATGATGATGTATCTAGGCTAGCAACGTACGTAGGCCATAAGACCAATTATAATAATATATTCTTCTTTGTTTCAGAACGCATCGGTTAAGATATATGATCCAGAATATTCCAAGCAATGGTATAATCTCACTTATTTAGAATATTGTGTAGACAACAAACTCGTACTCTTACGAAATGGACCCACATTTATATTAGTAATCAAAGAATATTTTCAATTCTCCGAAGATAATGGACTAAATGATACCCTACTTTTTATAGGTAATTATTCAAACTATTTTCTTTTACTTAATTACAACCGAAATACGGACAAAATCTTTGGATTAATATGATATTTAACATTCCCTGCCAAAATTACGAGTGATCCACATCATTTGGATCATGATTTGTTATTAATCTTATACTATTACTAGCTTTTACCCGCGGCTTCGCTCGCATCACAAAAGTATAAAATGTAGCCTATGTGACATATACAAATACACACAGCGCCATCTATATACCAATACTTTTGTTTTTCCTCGGTAATATTAATTTTTCCGGGTTAAAAAGTACCCTATTATTTAATCCAGACTTCTAACTTTACGTCTGCAAAAATTGAAAGCAATCGGTTGGGTAGTTACGGCGTGAAGGTGGAACAAACAAACAAACAAACAAACTCACTTTCAGATTTATAATATTAGTAAGGATAGTAAGGATAAGAATGGTTTTGATATTTGTATGATTACACATAAATTGAATAGGGTAGATGACTAATCTTTATTTTAATGTCCGTCTGGTAGATTATTTTAAATCATTAGACACGTAGTTTTTATTTTCTTACAGAAATTAATACTTTCGACGATATATTGATTTGAAATGTCGCGTGACGTCACTTCTATGTACATTTTATACGTAGAAATGACGTTTTAGCCTACTCCTAAACTTTGATTCGTTTTATCTAAGTATTGTTTTATTATATGACAAAATAAAAAAATACGTGACTAATATTTTTTCATTACCTAACTTACGGACTAATTAGATTTTTAATTTTCATACCCTGTCATCAGTAGCTGGATGAGTGACACTCATCGTATTGTAGGTTCGATTCCCACAAGTAACAATTATTTTGTACCAACATATCATTAACTATAAGGTTTTTACCAGTTACGTCATATATATTAGTACCATATTACATGAGCCTCTTATTAAGACTTTTGGAACACCAAATTCACACACATTCGGTTTTCTAAAAATCTATAGAAACCAATATAGCCCTCCATATCCGAAATAACATAAATTTAAAAAAATTACATTACATCTCGCCCATTATCCTTGAAGGGGTAGGCAGAGATGCACATAACGGTACTTAATGCTATACAGTAGCATTAAGTTTTAGCAGTAGGTACAATGTAACACCCACTTTTCACTAATTATGTTATGAGTCCCATGTAATAGGGGGTGAGCCTATTACCATATACAGGGCACAATTCCAGACTCCATGTGTTACTATTGAATTTTTTGTTAAACCCAGTGATACTTTGCCAGACCTAGTAATCGAACCCGAGACCCCTTGCCCGGCAGTCGCACTTACGTCCAACGAGCAGTCAAAACTATAAATTTAAATAACGTAGGTAAATACATAACTTAGCAACAAATGTTTAAGACTTTATTTTAGTCGCGGAGAACCTAACGGGTTACCGGGGCTCCGGGTCGACGTGCGGAAGGAACGGGGTGTTTTTTAGTCAGTAAGAGTCTGACACTCCCTCCCACCTCACCCAGGCAAGAGCAGTCATTCGATGATTTTCCCCATTAAAAAAAAAGACTTTATTTTATAAAATTGATTTTATGGCTTCCTTTCCACATAAAGGAAAACCAGGGTGAAAATTGAAGTCACGTGGGACAAAACAACCTTTGACTCGTTTACACAGACCTCGCCACGTGATCAGACCTTCAACGTTCACCCTTTTTTTTTTTTTTTTTTTAAGGGGGGAAAATCATCGAATGACTGCTCCCGCCCGGGTGAGGCGGAAGGGAGTGTCAGACTCTTACTGACTAAAAACCACCCCGTTCCTTCTCCTGCACGTCGAGCCGGAGCCCCGGTTACCCGTTAGGTTCTCCGCGACTCCGAATCGGCATCGGCCCTATTGGGCCCCATCTGTGGTGGTCTGATGGCTCTTTGAGGCGCGCGCGGAACGCGACGCGCCGTACGCTCGGGTCTGTTTCTGGTCGGACGGGGAGCCACCCATGCTCGCCGTCCGCAGGCCCGCGCTTACGGTGGCCGGAGATCGTCCCGCGATCCCCGACGCCCGGTGTGTCCTTCGCGATGGCTGGGTTGCGAGGAGGCAGCGCTTCGCTGCCTCACGCGTCCCGCCTCCTCCTTAGCCAGCATGACTGCTTCGCAAAAGGAGGAGACGGCATCCCAGTCCCCCTCGCTCCGCATCATGGCCTGAACTAGGCCCGGACGCGAGAGGTCTCCATCGCCGATCACTTCCCTGAGGGCACGGCGGTGCTCAGCCCACGCAGGGCATTCCGCAACAGTGTGTTCCACCGTGTCCTCAGGGTGGTCCTCGCAGTGATGACACCCGGGCGTTTCCTCCCGCCCCATCAGACACAGGTACCTCCCGAAACTTCCATGTCCGGTGAGGACCTGCGTCAGGCGGTAGGTGAGGACGCCGTAGCGTCTCTCAAGCCACTCCTCAAAGAGGGGACTTACCGCTGCAATGGCAGCGAGCCCAAACGTTCACCCTTAACTCGTCGAGTACCGGTTTTATAGACACAATTAAAGAACAATAGGTCGCGGTCACCGGTGACCGCTTGGTGTTTGACAGTTTAAATAATAAATAAATAAATAAAGGAATTTATTTCTCTCAAAAAGGTACATACATAGAAACATAATATCACTATTTAAGTTACATAAGGTTCAACCTTTATGAGAGCTGGAGTCTATACTGGGTTCAGGACCTGTATGACAGGAAGGGTAGACGACTAATTTTTATTTTAATGTCCGTCTGATAGATTATTTAAAAACATTAGACACGTATTTTTTATTTTCTCACAGAAACGAATAGTTTCGAAGATATATTGATTTGAAATGTCGCGTGACGTCACTTCTCAGTACATTTTATACTAAGAAATGACGTTTTAGCCCCCACTCCTAAACTTTGATTCGTTTTATCTAAGTATTGTTTAGAGTGGATTATATGAGAATGGATGATGAGAATGTGTTTGTCAATTGTGAAAATGTATGTACAGTGTGTGAGTGTTCATGTCTTTAGTGTGAGTGTATCTGAAGTTGTGTGTTTGTGTATGTAAGTTGGTGTGCTGTGATGAATATGTAGACATTTCCAATGGCCGACCAACAAATGCGTGTCTACTGAAATTCAGGCAGCAACCATTCAAGAAGTTCATGCCTCTTTCAAGAAGGTTCACACACATACTTGACAGACTGTACGGTTGGCTGGGCAACCAGCTGCCGTGCAACGTGTCGCGGGTTCGATTCCCGCACGGAACAGCACTTTATGTGATCCAAGTGAAACAAGTGAATTTATTTCTGCAAATAGGCTACAAGGCAGCACTTTTACACGTTAATTTTATCAAGCGAACGATGAGGCCGACATATCCTAACTGACTACTCTGAGAAGAAATACCGAAACAAACTCAGAGGTCTGTCTCTTTTTCTTTTTATTTACAAATTGTTGTTTCGGGTCTGGGTGTCATGTATTAGTATATCTGTAAGCGCACCCACGATTTCCCGTCCCCGTTCGTGATTTTCGGAAAAAAGTTAAAAAAAAAATTATTTAAAAAGTATCCTATGTCGGTCTCCTGGCTCTAAGTTACCTCCCTACCAATTTTCAGCCAAATCTATTCTGCCGTTCTTGAGTTATAAGTGGTGTAACTAACACGTCTTATTTTATATATATAGATATAAAGCGGAAGAGTTTGTTTTTTTGTTTGTTTGAACGCGCTAATCTCCGTAACTACAAGTCTGATTTGAATTATTCTTTTTGTGTTGGATAGCGCATTTATCGAGGATGGCTATAGGCTATAAAACATCATGCTACGACCAATAGGAGCTGAGCAGAGCGTGTGATACCGCGCGGAAGTAGCTAGTTATTAATAACTATTGTTAACTAAAAATCGCGGGTTACTCACGTGAATATACTGAGAATAGCTCTACTAGGTTCGAACCACAGAGGGGTTCTTCCTCATGAGCAGCGTGCGCGGTCGCCGTGATGTCGCGGCTAGTACAGCTTTTCTCAGTATATATACGTGAGTAAGCCGCAATTTTTAGTTTTTTTTTTATTGCATAAGCCGGTAAACGAGCAGACGGATCACCTGATGTTAAGCAACCGGCGTCGCCCATGGACACCTGGAACACCAGAGGCGTTACAAGTGCGTTACCGGCCTTTTGGGGATTAGGAGTTTGAGGATCGTTGGGGATTCAGGAATGGGGGAAATTGGGGAAGGGGAGGGTAATTGGGCCTCCGGTAACCTCACTCACACGACGAAACACAACGCAAGCGTTGCTTCACGTTGGTTTTCTGTAAGGCCGTGGTATCACTCCGGTCGAGCCGGCCCATTCGTGCCGAAGCATGGCTCTCCCACAGTTAATTTAGTATGTCTCTCTCAAAATATTGTTAAGATTTATATGGACTATTTAATTAACTAATAAATACGGAAGTAGGTACAACTGATAAAAAGTGGTGTCATGAAATTATTTGTTTGAAATCACGTTTTGGGAACACCCAAAATGACTTGGGTGTTCCCAAAATGACTAATAAGTAAAGTAGGTAAAATTATGAAATAGATTTTCATTATAATTAAGTATTTGCTATTGGAAAACCAATTATTAACAATGGTTTTGCTAAATTCCAGGCCTCCTGATTTCATCGGTGTTTTTGTTGCTGGTATTTATAGTCCATTGTATGTTAAAAACGCTGCATTCCACTTTCACGGGACTTTTAATGATGGCGTACACCATAACAATTCTACTAGGCTTCATAGTCAAAGTCATCATGCAAGCAACAATTGGATATATGACTCCTAAGAGCTGTAAAATAATAAGTATAAAGTTCAATTTTCAAATTAAACTATACTGTATAATTACCTGATTACCTACTTATTTTGCTAATCTTAATTTCTTTGTTTCCAGCTCCTTTCCTATATTTTCTATTGATGTCCAGTTTCTTCTGGTTAAATGCTTTCTCTTTTTGTATTTGGCGGGGATTAAGGTGAATATTTAATAACTTTATTTTCGCTTCCTTTTTGTTGTGTTAATTTATGAAAATAGATAAGAAGCATCGAGATCGAATGGTTGGTCACTTTTATTTCATTTTTAACTTTATTACTGAACTAGCTACTTCCGCGCGGTTTCACACGCTCTGCTCAGCTCCTATTGGGCGTAGCGTGATGTTTTATAGCCTATAGCCATCCTCGATAAATGCGCTATCCAACACAAAAATAATTATTCTATGAAACATTACACTACGACCAATAGGCGCCGAGCAAACCACGCAGAAGTAGCCAGTATAAGATATAAGATGATACGATTACATAATAACTATCGCCAGATATACTAAATTAACTAAAACCGCGGGTTACTCACTGGAGAAAAGCTCTACTAGTTTCGAACCATAAAGGGGTTCTACGCCATGACGTCGCGCAGCTCCTGAGCTGCGATCGCGATTTTAGTTAATTTGATTCGATTACATGTACCTATAAACCCATACTAACATCAATTACAACAATAGTTGATGGTTTCTGCCACCATGTAATCTATTGAGTAAGGTAATTTTGTACCGTGGAAGACCCGGGGAAATGCCGACGTTCTTATGTTTCCCCAAATCCCCAATCTCAAACTCCTAATTAATACATTTTTTTGAATAGTCAAAATCGACAGTTTTCTATGAATTTTGTACGAGATTGTGTATTGTGACGTCAAGTTTTTTTAGCGTCAAACAGCATAGGTACTTATTTCTTAAAAAAAATGCTGAAATATAAATTAAGTTGGTCATAAAACCAATTAGTGAAAGTGTGATTACTTTTAATAATTTTATATTGTATTGAACAGTCGAAATAATTTATTTTTGATTAAGGAAAGTATCTACCCATGTGTAACCTGGAAGTGCTTGATACAAAAAGCCCTACATAATACCACTTGTTATTCTCTGATGATGCGGGTGTCCATGGGCGGCTCCGACCTATTTCATAAAGGGAACATTCATTGTTTTCATAAAATAGCACCATGCAAAGTCGTGCCATTGTTAGACAAATGAATATACCATTAAATTTAAATATGAATCACTACGTATTATTTTATAAGCTGTTTTACTTGTGTTACCGTGAGTCGGTGGCTATAAGGAAAATAACCAAAACTTTACATTAATATCCAATAAGTACGTGCAGTGCTACATTACAATATTATCCCTCAGGAAAAAAAATAAAGTAGGTTAGTTATATTACAAATATTTTGTAACTTGGTTAGTGTATTGTATTTCCTACTAATTAGTTAGAATTAGCTAAAAATGGAATAATAATTTGATTTCCTCATCTACTCGATCATACCTAATAATAGCTAGAAATTTGGTAACTGTGGGTCAATTTCAATTAATATCTGTTGGTAGGATCGCCAATGCGTTTCAAATATGATATTTAACATAACATCATAACATAACATCACGCCTTTTTATCCCCAAAGGGGCAGGCAGAGGTGCACACAGAAATAACACCCACTTTTCACTATCTATGTTATGAGTCCCATGTAAGTACTTACCTAATAGGGGGTGAGTCTATTGCCATATACCGGGCACATATCCATGCTCCGTGCTACTACTGAGAACTTTAAAAAAAACCCAGTAATTCTTTGCCCGACCAGGGAATCGAACCCGAGACCCCTTGCCCGGCAGTCGCACTTGCGACCACTCGGCCAACGAGGCAGTCATATGATATTTAAATATTTTGATTAGAAATAGGTAGATTCTAAAGTAACTTCGTGCACGTAGCAAAAAACTAGCCATGGTCGTCCCACTGCAGGGCAAGGACTACTTACCCTCCTTCCACTGGACATGTGACCACTAGAGAAATATCAGACAAAAATGTCTGTTCTGATCACATTTATACGTATGCGACAGAATTGGGTTGGCCGTTGGTGAGTTGGCCTTCATCAAAAATAAATTATTTTGACTGTTCAATACATTAAAATATTATAAAATAATCACACTTTCATTACATAATTGATTTTATGACAAACTTAATTTAAGTATTTTATTAAATAAGTATACTGTTTAACTCTAAAAAAACGTACGTCACAATACACAATCTCGTACAAAATTCATAGAAAATTGTCGTTTTTGACAGCTCTACAAACCAATAATTATAAATATTACCTAATTACTTGCGACCCGCCCAGGTTTCGCACGTGTGCAATATGCATGTATTATACATATAAACCTTCCTTAAGAAAGAATCCTTCTATCTGTTAAAAAAAACGCATTTGAATCCGTTGCGTAGTTTTATAGATCTAAGCATACAAAGGGATATACAGACGGCGGATAGCGACTTTGTACTATATAGTGATATCATTAATTTTGAAGTACTTAGGTCCTATGTATTATTTTTTCCTGTTAGCCTTTAATTGTTACAAACAGCTATAGAGAGATTTTCAGTTGAAATAATGTTCATTCTATTTGCACAACTGTTAGGTATATAGTTTCAAGTTCTTTCCTCTACATACGAAGCAACATTTCGGAATAAGCACATATATACTCAGCTTCTGTTTCTATGAGCCTAGTCAATGACAGACAATTCTACACTTGGGGACAAAGAAACGGGGCCACTAGCGATTTTTTCTTTTTCATTATTCTTGATAAATATTTTCTGATACAAGTATTTTATTAATTGGTAACATATGTCGTATAAATTTATTTACCTTTAAAATGATAGCATTTTGTTGTAAAAGGAATATACCTACTATTTAATTGAATATACAGTTATGGTGGTTTTGATAGAATGAAAAAAAAACTATAGTTCTGTTTATTTGCTCCAAGTGTATTTTGGCGTTTCAAAAGCGCCTATACCTATGTGAAATAATTCATTTTACTTTATCTCGCATTCTTTTATTGCGTATTATTTTCATTATTTTTTTATTTCCGCAGAAAATTTGAAGTATTTAGAGCATCACGGCGGCAGAAGCTGCTAAGTTTCATGCGATACAGTCTGTACGCATGGGGTGCACCGCTAGTGATCACTGGTATCGTCACCTTCTTAGACAACATCGACATTAAAAAACTGAAATTTATCATCAAACCACCATTCGACGACTGTTTCAAAAATAGTAAGTATTTACATAAATAGTAAATTAGGTAGCTATATGAATCGATTTCCTTAAACAGAGGAGGTTCTCAATTTGTCCATATGTTTTTGTGTGTGTCGTTGTGTAGTACTCCGACTTTTGTGGACATATTTGGATAATAAGGGGACTCCTTAATGGTTAACAGTAGCTAACTGATTCCTTTTTTATGGCATAATCCGATAAATGAACAGACGGATTACCTGATGGTAAGCAATCGGCGCGGCGCCGCCCATGGACACCTGAAAAACCAAGGCGGTACAAATGCGATACCGGACTTTTGGGAATTGGGAATTTGAGAATTGTGGAGGATTCGGGGATTAGGGAGACTAGGGAGGGGGGTAATTGGGCCTCTGGTACCCTCACTCATACGACGAAACACAAGCCAAGCATTGTGTCACATCGATTTTCTGTGAGGCCGTGGTATCACTCCGGTCGAGCATATTCTTGCCGAAACATGGCTCTCCCACATTTCATTTTTGGAATTTCGTTTATAAGTAACAATTTATTAGTAGTAGTAGTAGTATTAGTATATACTAATTAGTTACCCACCCACTGGTAAGTTAGAAGTCGGTGCCACCAGTGGCAGGCACAGGTTTTCGAGACAGGATAGGCAACTAAATATCGTATGATTAACCCCCCCCCCTCCCCCCCCCCGCCGGTCATACAATCATGCTCACACAAGACAGGTACATGTACATAATACATTTCGAAAAGTGCGTTCAAGAATATTGTGGTTTATTCTTTCGGCAAATTACAACACTGACATCTCGCGTATTTTTTTGCGAAGTACTTCATCACCTATTGAATAAGCCAACTTACAAATAATGAAGGATCTATTATTTATTTTAATAATGAAGCATAAATTTGATGAAACAAATTTCATTATGGAATTCTTAAGTTTAATCAATCTGTTCAAAATCATAATATATTACGAATTTAAGAGCGTATGTACCTACATTATATCAAAAAACAAAACGATAACAAGCGCGGCCGGCTGCACAGCCGGCAGTGGCCGAGCCGAGTCCATAGACGATGATGATACACTATACTATAAAATAGCTAGCCGAGTCTATGCGGTACATTTGTTATTACATTACATAATTATTAATAATGAATTAACATGTGAATCAGTACAACCCGAAGTCTAAGTTGATATTTTTAAGAATTATCAAACAATAAACAAGAAAATCAAATAAAAGATCCATTATATTTACATTACCTACCTTTTACTTGGGTCAATTCTCGTAACTCGAGTACACCTCTGCCTATGGTCATTACCTGAATTTAGTCCGATAAAGGACATTTTCTTGCGAAATCTCACTGTTTTTACTTTCAACGAACACATAAAATTATCTACTATCCACACAAACTTCACAATCGAATAATATAGGTACTTGTACTAGAAACTGATAAACAAATACACTATTTGAAAAACCTACACATATATTTAACTATTACTACACATATTTATGCAACTTTATCTTTAAAACTAATTCCTAATAATTTAAACGAAAACATAAACAAAGCGATCGCACATCACATGAAAACAATATGGCCGAAAACATTTGGAAATGAATTGAAGTCATTACCAATAGTCAATTGAGAGTTTATTATAAAAAAAATTAGCTTAAAAATTAAGGTAATACGGCGTTTAATTAAAAAAAAACAATGGTTAATTAAGTAAGTCTATTTGAAATTGCATCATCGTCTTAAACTAATATTTCTTACTAAAAAACATTCATTCATATAATTTGAAACGTTGTAAATGGCGCCATCTTGACGTTTCAATAACTTCCTTTTAACTTTTATAATAATAAAGTCAACTCCTCGTTTTTTCTATAAACCGACAACGCGTTAAAATGTTAAGCTTTAATTAAAACACTGGAAACATATTTGTTAAATACGTATTTATAAAAATACATTCGCATTATATCGAACGAGTTCAGAAGTTTCAACAAAAAATTAAATAGATGACGCTGCCACGCTGGTGTAGGTACTCCATTCATCAGTACTTTACGATATCCAGATTTTATCAATTTAAAACCTTTTATGATTTAATTGTTTTTAAAAATACAATAACTTGTTGCTATTTTATTGTTTTAAAATTCTTAATAAAATACGATCGTTTTCCAAGTGATGAACGAACGGTCCTCTAATTTTTTAGTTGCCAAAATTTTATCAATCAACAGGAATAGTGTAATATAATTATGAATGGGGTTATTCTGTACCGTGACTATGGTCGTGACCTTCACGCATGCGCGGTGCATACTTTTGGTACATTACTTTTGTGACGTCACAACTAGCGACCAAGATTTAAGATTTAAGGAATAGCAGCGCATGTGTGGTGCGTGCGGGGCGCATCCATTGCTTTACTAGGCGTGCGGTCCGTGTATAGTATATGTGAATGTATATTTATGTAAACCGTTTTTTTACAAACTTTTATTATATTATTGAATCTTAATAAACGCGTTTGTACATTTTATGTATGTTATATATTCACGATATGGACTGCACGCCACTGGTGCCACACCACAAGCCCATAACAAAATGTATTTTAGGATTATAATAAATAAAATTATACACAACTAAATATAACGTATAGGTAAGGGTAATAAACATTTTAGGTAAGGTTTTAATGAATAATTTTGTTTAAAACTTGTGTCACTCTGTGACTAAGGTACTGTGACAGATAGGTAGGTACATAAATAAAATATGAGTCATAAAAACTAGGTTGTTTTGTACTTTTAGTTTTTACCTTTTGTTTGTTTTTAGTTTTTGGTTTTTAAAGTCGGTTTCTTAAACACAGTTTGTTCATTTTCATTATTACGCTAAAAATGTACCTGATAGCTATAGATTACTGTAGGTACATTACCTACCCACGTCATGGTGTTCTACATTGCCGTTTTTATTTTCAGAATATGGAATTCAAAGGTACTATTTCATACCGCTGGGTATAATAATGTTCAATAACATAGTCTTGTTCATAATGACGATTTACCATATAATGACAACCACCAATAGTACAAAAAGTAATGCAGAATTTAGACGAAGTGGCAGGGGAAACAGGTATGTGGGACAAAATACATAAATTAGTATCATACTTTTTAATACCCTGGCTAAGGTAACTTTTTATACATGTTATAAGTATCTCTCTCTGCTCACTGCCTCGTTGGCCAAATGGTCGCAAGCACGACTACCAGGCAAAGGGTCTCGGGTTCGATTCCCGAGTCGCGCAAAGTACTACCGGGTTTTTAAAGAAATTCTCTGTAGTAGTACGGAGTCTAGAATTGTGCCCAGTATATGGCAATAGGCTCACCCCCTATTACATGGGACTCATAACATAAATAGTGAAAAGTGGGTGTTACATTGTACAGTGGCATTAAGTGCCGTAATGTGTGCCTCGGCCTACCCCTTCGGGGATAAAAGGCATGATTTTATGTTATGTAATGTATAAGTATGAATCCCATTGGTATATGGATACCATATAGGTACTTAATGAATAAGCGCTGACTGCACAGCTGGCGTGGTGGCCGTACAATCGGCTCCGCGCTACGTGCAGGTAGCATTCAATTTCCGCACGGAGCAACTCTTTGTGTGATCCACAAATTGTTTCTAATCTGGGTGTCATGTGTATGTGAACTTGTATGTTTGTAAACGCACCCACGTCTCGGGAGAAAATCTTAGTATAAGGGAACGTTTAAAAAAAAGACGTTTCCCCACCCGATTTAGAACTGATATTTACATATTTCGGAAAATGCAACACTGCCTTTGAGTTAAAGCTAACTTTTGCCAGTCACAAATGGGAACCCTCTACTAACTATGAAACGATTTGTAGAATTTTCCAAACATATAACAACCAGTACGACCACACGAAGAATTTACGGCTCTATTGCTCTTATCTGAAGGTTCATTTATGATTTTTTTGCGATTTCAGCTACAAGACTTACTTAAAACTGTCACTTACTATGGGCATCAGTTGGGTCCTCGAGTTGATTCCAAACTCTGATAACACATTCCTCTTCATCCTGAGCAACACATACAACAGTCTAATCGGAGTCATCATATTTTTCGTGTATATTTGCGACAAGAACGTTTTGAATGAACTGTGCAAAAAGTAAGTTTAACAACTTTACCTACAGATATATTAGGGATTTTTTTTTATATCTTTATTATTATAATATAGGCTTTAATCGTTAAACGATTATGTCAGCCTTGTAGATTTACAATTACATAATTATAAACAAAACAATTAAAGAGATCTTAACTTAATTAATTTGCTAAATAAATAATATAAATCAACAGCTATTTCGGATGTAGGCTTCGATAAAATCAAGTTACATAAGCCCACCTCGCTCAATCTAAACCCGCCTTTTACTTCCAACGCCCTGCGTTCTGCCCCGATCCGGGCACACTCCACTAAAGCGTGGTATATATCCTCTCTGATACCACAGATCGGACAGTTTGGGGTATCAACATATATTAGGGGATGATGACAGGGTATAAAAATTAAAAATCTAATTAGTCCGTAAGTTAGGTAATTAAAGAATATTAGACACGTATTTTTTTTATTTTGTCGTATAATAAAATAATACCTACTTAGATAAAACGAATCAAAGTTTAAGAGTGGGGGCTATAACGTCATTTCTACGTATAAAATGTACATAGAAGTGACGTCACGGGACATTTCAAATCAATATATCGTCGAAAGTATTTGTTTCTGTAAGAAAATATTAAATACGTGTCTAGTGTTTTATAATAATCTACCAGACGGATATTAAAATAAAATTTAGGATACATAGGTATGTATCCTAGGTATGTGTACATAGGTATGTACCTACTACCCCTATATACACTGTTACCAACCCTACTGTTTTAACAGTAGATTTGCTGTTTTTGCTTTGATGTCCATGTTTTCTGTTTCATTCTTATTTTCTACTGTTTTCTTTATACCAAAACAAAATTCCCGATACTATCGATTTTTGAAACATGGACAAGAATTAAAGAATGGAGGAGACTCTCAAACGTTCCTTGCGTTGTGTGATTTACATAGTAAAAAAGCTTTTGTGCCTACCACAGTAGGACCACATAGCAGTGCCGTCGTAGAAAGGTTATTTTCTGCTATAAATATTACGAAAACCAAATTACCTACGTATCAGAACATCGACTACAACTATTAAAGGTCAAAATCTGAAATAACCGATTGCTATTCATTTGAATGTGAGTTCTAGTCACTTAAACAATTAGGTATTCATTACTTAATTATATTACCAAAAATATAAAATGAGCGCTTTTTTCTTTACCTACTGCTTTCTACTGTTTTTTTTTAAGTGAGTTGTTGTTTTTTTGTTTTTTGGGGTTGGCAACACTGCCTATATATCAGTGACGAAAAGTGTCATCTGTCACTACTCATGCCCACAACACGGTTTTATCTATCGAAGTAATAAACTTGACATATAAACAAAATTTTATTTCCAGGTTCAATATACAAAACGAGTTTGTAATTAAGCTGGCGCACCGTAAATCCTTGTTCAGACTAGCGAGGTCAATGAAGGCAAACCGTGAAGAATTGACTAGTATGCAAACTACTACCACAGGACTAAGTTCTGAAGTCGAAAATAAAATATCTTTAATTTAACTTTTAGTACATACACATTTTACAGAAAAATATTTTTACCTAGGTATTTTTTTATTTGTAGGTCCCTAATAGGATGGCGTGTCGCCACCAACTCATCTGGTGCTACCTAGTTATTCATAACTTAATCTTAACTGTTGTCACAAAATAAAATAAGCGAACAAACAAATCTAGAGCTAGATTTATATACTTAGTTCAAATGGCGGGCGCTAATGCCTTGTTCCGACTACGCTAATATTTTAGTCGAGTAGCGAATATTTAATAGTCCTCTCTCGCTTCTGTCCCAAAATGGAAGTGAAAGAGAACTACTAAATATTCGCAACTCGACTAAATGACTAGCGTCGTGCGAACAAGGCATAAGCGCGGGTTTCGCGTTTCACGTGTAAGTATTTACATTAATTCGCGTTCAACTCGGGTTTGCATGGATGCGCTTGGCGCTTGCCATCTGAACTTCTGAACTTAAGCTTATAAGTATTATAGCGTAGGAATATGAACATAGAAACAAAGAAATATAAACTTTTAATTGTTATTATTTATTATAGAAATTGTAAAACATATTAAAGTCTTTTTTCTTCCATTTCTTCTGGCAATGCATGCAACATGTACCTACCTAATTTCAATCCAGTCTGCCTGTTTACCTTAACCTAATCTAACTTAGTCCTACATAGTGGGCTGACGTAGGCTTACAGCCCCTTAAATAAAAAAATATTAAAAAGTATTCTTACTTATAGTCCTTCCCTTACCTAATAACATTCTGTAATAACATCAATTATTATTACTTTACTAAATAGCAGTAACAAGGAGTCTCGTTCTATTCTTTCAAATTCTATCATACATACATTATCAAACATAGGTAGGTATTGGGTAGATACCTATCTATCTATTATTATTATTATAACCTTACATAATAGCTCGCTATGTTGTTACTACGAAAACTAATTACTTAAGGGTAAATTACTAAGTAATATTTTTTGCACTTGGCTTTACCCTTAAATTATTATAACTGCTAACAAGTTTCTTGTGTTACATACAAGGTGTTCATTATATTAAGCAACCTTTACCTTTTCTTCGGTCTTTTTTCGTAATAACCGGGCGGTTATAATGAAACACATTTTTTTAGGTCTGTACATACAACGCCTATAGACGATTTTTCGGATAAATACTTACCGAGTTTAAACTCAGATTTAATAATAATAATAATAATAAGCCCGCAGGGCACCTTGAGGCGAGGTGACGGGCATTAGCGATCCCGCGGGCTACCATCATCCCGAGTGCTCCAGGGAGAAGTCACCGTTCCTTCTTCTCCGGCTTGCCTTAATTGGCTGGCTGGAGTGAACGATGACAAGGAACAGGTCTCCCACCTCTGGCTTGCCTTCATTGGCCGTCCAGAGTGGAGTCGCGAGAGCAGTGATCCTGCTCGGAGGGTAAGAAACTATTCGTAAGTCGCGAGTGGGCCAGGGATGCAGGAGGCTTCGGCTGGAGCAGATGATCTGAGTAGAAAGCGGTGGTAGTTTCTTAACCCTTCAGCCACTCACATTCTCGTTGCCCCTCTGTTGCTATATCTAGCAGCCATTCCCGGGGCCCGGTCGGTGAGTTGGCGAGTCTCCGCCTGCCATTTTTACGTGTAATAATTACATTGTTTCGGCAGGTGCCATAGTCATCCATAGTTCCCAATTTTCCAGTCCACAGCAACCCATCCATAGCCCTATCTTTTTTTTTCCATTATCCTCAATAGTTTTACACTAACCGGAGACTGTCCTTGGGTGCATTTCCATAGTGCATACAGGGACAGTCGCCGGTTTGTGTGTCCATTACATTTATATTAAAGTTGTCTAAAGGGCCTCTGCGCAGTTGGCTTCGGCCCCTCGCATGCCTCCCAAATGACCGGGACCCTGTGGTCCCGTGAATGGTAAAGACACACATAATAATAATAATCTTTATTGTCGCAAAGGTTATACAGTTCTTTGGGTGACTTATATCTAGACACAGGCTTAAAATGTAATGTGCTATAGGTACTGATGCTGTCTCCCAAACTAAGCGAAAGCTTGTATTTTGGGTGGCAGTGTTCAGTCATTTAATGAGGTTCAACGATTACTGCTGGAGATTCAAGAGAAAAAAATAAATAAAAAATAATTAAAAGATATTAATGCCTATACATGTACATATTACTAATGTGGACCGTGAATTGTTGAGTGAGCATGAGTATAAGTGAGTGTGTGTAGTGTGGGCGTAAGTGTGTAGGGATGTGTGGGATTTTGTGTTTGTGTTGTATGAGAGTGTGGTGTTATGTAGGTAATGGTAACGTGTGTTTGTATGTGAGGGTTACTCTATGCGATGTATGTCAGTAATTCTTCCGTTTTTTTGTAGTCTTTATTTTGGAGCCAGTTAGTCAGGCTGGTTTTAAGTTTGTGTCTGCTTAGTCCAGCGATATTCAGTTTCTTGTGGATGTCGTTGTATAATTTAATGCTCATATTGTTGAATTGTCTTTTGGCAAAGGAGGTCTTACAGAGAGTGCGTGGGCATACAGGCTTCCCGCTACGTTTGTCTGGATCGGGACGAGGGATGCTTCGGTGTCTTCTCATGGTGGACTTGAGCACAAAGAGCTGTCGAACTGTTAAGACCTTGCAGTCTGAATAAAGTTTTTCGGTGGAGTATCTATAAGGCTTTTTAGTCATTACTTTGAGCACAGCTCTTTGTGCTCTTTCCAGACTGAGAAGGAGCGTCTTGCCAGCGCCACCCCAAACCGGAATGCAATACTGAATAATGGACTGACAAAGGGCTAGATAGGTGAGTTTTAGTGTCTTAAATGGAACACAGTCTCTGAGTGTTTTAAATATATGTATAAGTCTCCTCACTCTGGAGGTGACTGTGTCAATCTGCTTGTCCCACCTCAGTCCACCATCAATATATACACCTAGGTACTTGACATGCTTGGCTCGTTCGATTTGTTGGCATGTACAGACTTCCCGAAGAGAGCAATTATGGGCTATGATAGAGAAGTTTTGTGGTGGGGAATTAGTTTTCCTGATTGAGAAGGGAACATAGTGTGTTTTGGAGATGTTTAACGTCAGCAGGTTGTTTGAAAGCCAGTTCATATTTTAGATAGGGAATATTCGGCTATCTCCTTTACGGCATTCCAGTTTGGACCCCAGACGAAAATTGCTGTATCGTCTGCATACGTAAAGATGTTCGTGTTTGGAAGAGAGATTCGACAGAGATCATTTATGTAAAGTTGAAAAATGGTTGGGCCTAAAATACTCCCCTCTGGAACACCGTACGACACTGTGACCTCATCGCTGTTCATATTACCTACTTTAACTTGTTGTTTTCTATTGGATAAGTAGTCCTTAAGTATATTAAATGCATTACCTCGTATGCCTAGTTTTTCCAACTTGGCAAGGAGGATGGGAACAGAGACCGTGTCAAATGCTTTAGAGAGATCCAGGAAGATACATAAGCATTTGTTTTTACTGTCCAAGTTTTTAGCAATTTCTGTTGTCAAGTCAATTACGGCATCCTCAGTAGAGTAACCAGAGCGAAAACCATATTGATTCTCAGCTAATATTTTAAACTTCTCCAAAAATCCCTTGAGTGACCGATTTAGAATTTTCTCAAGAATTTTCGAGATGCAGGAAAGAATCGCAATAGGGCGATAGTTGTTGACACAGTCTCTGTCCCCATTCTTGTAAATCGGGTGTACAATCGCTTTTTTGAGCATATCTGGAAAAACTCCTGTGCTTATTGCGAGGTTACAAATATGGGTGAGGGGAGGTATTAGAGAGTGACGACAAAATTTTATTATTTGTGATGAGATCCCGTCCCATCCCGTGGCACAATCAGAGCGTAGATGCATTATTATGAGTTCAATATCCGACTCTTCTACTTCTAAAAGAGCTATTGAATTGGTCGGACTATTTAGAGAAGCCAGATTTTTAAGACTCAGTGTTCCTGGATTGTTGCTTTGGGCGGGTGTGGAGGCGAGTATTTTGTCTGCCAGGTTTTTTCCTATGCTAGCGAAGAAACTGCAGACGTGATTCACAGATGTTTTGGGGTCATTGTGTGATTGAAGGAGTTCCGTGGCATTAACTTTAACTTTTTGAGTATTTGTTATATTTTTAATTGCTGTCCAGAGGGCTTTTGCATCATTACCAGCTTTGTCAATTAGGCTTTTTTCGTAAGTAGTCTTTAGTTTACGTAGAAGGCGGTTGCAAAAATTTCTGTAACGCGTGTAGATTAATTTAGTGGTCATGTTGTCTGGCGATTTTTTGGCTTTGCTATGCAGTCTATCTCGATGCTTCATGCAACGGAGTAATCCTGGTGATATCCACGGTTTTAAGATTCTACATTTTCTAGTTACTGTGATGGTTTTAGTATTATCCCGTATGACATTTGAGATTGTAGTTATAAGTGTGTTGGTAGCTAGGTTTGCATCATTAGTTTTAAACACGTTTGTAAAATCGGCGCTTTCTAGATCTGTTTTTATTTTGTCGTAGTTTAAAAGAGTTTTAGTTGTATCCGGTTTACGGGAAGAGGTATTTGTTTCTATGGATAGGGTTATTGGCAAATGATCTGTTACGTGGGATTCAAGTACTAGAGTTTTAGCGAACAAATTAGGTTTTGTGAGAAAATGGTCTAGGCAAGTGGTTTTTTCGTGGGGAAGGTGTGGGTTGGGAAAAGTCCGTGGGTCGCATTGAAGGTCAGATATTCATCACGTAGGGGGTCGGAGCTGTTAGTACATATGTCGATGTTAATGTCGCCAACTAAGACTATATCGGTGGGTAGGCTGTCGTACACTTCGGATAGGCTACTTATAAAGTTGTTGAAGTTTTCTCGGGTCTTTAGAGAAGGTGAACGATATACAGCCACGATTGAAATCTTTTGTTCTATTTGACAGATCAAACAACTTGCGTCTTTAAAAGTTGGTTCGCGTATTTTACATGACAGGTTTGTTTTAGCGTAGATAACGACACCGTCACTCCGATTGAGCGCGGAGTTTGTGGAGTAAGCAGTGTACCCCTCTAAAGTAGGTAAGTTAGCTATTCCGCGTAGCCAACATTCAGTCAGAATAACGACGTCGAATGTTAGGTCGGTCATAGTTAGTAGTACTCGTAGTTGGTCAAAGTTCTTGTTAATGCTACGGATGTTAATATGAAATAATTTGATGGCATCGTTCGGTTGAGAAAGGAATGATCTGCAGTCCTCCGGTCGACAGACATATGAGTTTGTGAGCTCAAGTGAGTCTAGTTCTGTGTTAATATTGTTAATGTTGGCCATTTATTATAAAGATAGATGTCAGGAGGTGCCATACATCGCGATGATGGGGTGAATAGTTGTGATAGTGAGTGTAAGCCTAGAGTTGTGGTTGTGTAGTATGTAGTTGTGTGAGTGTGATTTGTATGGGTTGGTTGATAGTATGTAAGTTTAGTCGAAATGGTCCTTTTTACAATATTTTTATAAAACCTTTTACAAACAGTTTTGTTATGATTTTTTAATACATTAGTACGAGCGGCAACTATGGATATAAACTCGGTAATTAAAAATAGCAGATGACAGTATAGCAAAGTTAATAGTGTATGAATAATTAGTCACAAGTTCTTCTTCAGATCCATGAGACATTGTTCTGAGGAAATTAGTATTTGTTTATCCCCCTGTTCTTTGCGAAGGAAGATATTTCCGTTGGAGGTCCAGCAGAATTTAAATTTGTTAAGTTTGGCGAATTCTCTGGTTGCGTGAAACAGTTTCTTAGAGCTCATGGGTAAATAGTCTGCAACAAACACTGGTTGTCGTTTCCCGGGGATGTCAATCAGCGCTGTGTTGAGTTTATCTTCCACGGTTTTGTGTTTATTGTTAAATTCTCGAATAGCGGTCAAGGTATTCGACTTCATTTGGACGGTCTGGAACTCGACGACAATCGGACGGGTTGAGCCATCTTTGCCTGGCAAGCGATAAATGTCTCTTAAATCCGTGTCAGAGATTTTAATTCCAACAGCCTGTCCAATCCTGTTGATAGTGTTTGTGAGGTCATCGCTATTTTCTTTATCTTTCGGGGGGACATTTCTTACTTCAATGCTAGACGTTCGCGATTTCAATTGTAAGTCTTGGATTTTCCGTTCTAGTTTCTCCAAGCATTTCCGTTGTTCTTGTTTTTCTTTTTGTAAGGAATCTAAACCAGACTTTATATCCTCGTATTGCTTATTAATGAAGGTCATTGAGGTAGCTATTTCGGCGTTCGATTCTTTAATCTTAAAGGTTTGTGTTTTTAGCTCCGAGATTTCTGTGGCGAGTTGAGCGATAAGCGAATTCTGCTTGACACACATGTCATTTAATTTTGCATCAAGTTCAGATTTCCAACCGCTCAACAGCTCCAAAACTTCATGCTTCAGATCTTGATCTTCACCTCCCGGCGATTGACTATGGCGCGGGCGCTTAACCCGATTTACATTTACAAAGGTAGTGTCGCCAAAGTGCAAAGAATTCAGATCCGATTCCGATTGGGTATGCAGTATATTAGATGTGGTAGGCGACTTAGGGGGCGTTCGCTGTACCGACATATTAGTCTCAGGTTTTTGAATAATTTCCGGAAAATGTATTTCTGCAACTTACTTGCAATTTTAATTACGCGGCGATGGTTCACACAGGTGTGCGCGTAGACGATGCCGCGCGTAGGCTCGTAGTCGCACGTAGCAAGTGCCCCCACCGCGCGGCCAGCGGTGACGTCGTTGCGTAGACGCGTTCACTTGAAGCAGCTGCGTGTCCCGCACGATGCGTCACTCGTAACGTAATGTTGCTTTACTATTTATGGCTCGTTCACTATTTATGGCTCATTCACCAAAAGTAAATTGTAATCGCCGAGTAAAAACACATTAGCAAAGATGAGCACATAGACAACATAAATTTAGCAAGGGTGCCACATGTTGCCAACGCAAAATTTTCAGGCGCTATCCGTATATCGACTCAAAGTGGGTAGACCAAAAAAAGTACAAACACTGGATTCGTTCCTTTGGTAGATTATCGCGCAAATCACATCACAGATGCGTCAAGCAACACCATCCAAGATCACCCAATACTGCACTACACCGATACACTCAAATCTTTGCACTTTGATGACTTATTAAACGAGAAATTTATTTAATCTCGAGAGCACTTTTAACACGGCCGTCTCGGCGAACTGTCAAACTGAACCGATTTAAACCGTTTCTACTCTAATATTTATGCAAAAAGTGAAAAAACACCCATATTTACGTTTTCAACAGTATTTATCCATTTTGAGATATTTATCCAAAAAATCGCCCATTTCTAACATCATCGCGGTCACAACATATTATTAATAGTTTTACGATGTAATAATTTATAATATGTTAAATCGGTCTGATTTTTTATAAAAAGGTTTACGAGTTGTTTCCGAGTAGAAACCAAATATTAAATGTTGTATTCGACTGACATCAAACGATTGAAATGTCAAAATTTAGTCGAGTTTTCACAATGAATCGCCCTGCTCTACGAGATACATAATCTGTGGCACCTGTGATTGATTTTCGTCGCGAATTTCTTGAAATCCCAGCTGTTTCGTTGCAATAGCTGCACTGCGCCTGCCTGAACTGAATGCACCCCAGATTCCCGGGCCTTCTAGCTCATAAAACATATCAGTATCAGTCGATATGTCGTCCATCATGGATGAAAGGTGTGTAATTGTTTAGTGGTTCCAGTAGAGTGTTTTAAAAGGCAAAGTGATGGATTTTGAATTCTCTTTTTAGGGTGACTGACGAGATCGAGGCTCTAGAAGCAATTTTAATGGATGATGTGGTGATAAAACGAGTGGGGGAGGTTCCTCAAGTCATCGAGACCGTCCTCCACCCGTCAACGGGTGACGATGTGGAGCAGCAGTACGTTTGTGTGACGCTTGTAGTAAAGTTGACACCAGGCTATCCTGATAGCATACCTGAGGTAACGCTTAGGAATCCGCGAGGCCTCGACGATGATATACTGGCGAACATCCACGTACAAATCAGGGAGAAAATAGCTGACTGTCTTGGATCACCCGTCATTTTTGAACTGATTGAGGTAAGTCTTTACGTATTTATTTTTCTTAGGTTTTTTCTATGGCCTACAACTATCCCTGTTCTAATAAATCTTTGCCATAATACAGATACTATAATTTTATACATTATGTTCAGTCTCTATTCCTTGTATTTCATGCAGTGTATGTGTGAGAAAAATACACCTTTTTAATGTATTGTTTGGAACTTATTCTCAACAATATTGAATTATCTCTTAAAAAAGACTGGATGTAGGTATATGTAACTAGTAAAACTATTGATAATATGCTAGCTCATCAAGGTTACTTCATTTTATCTGATTTGTATACTTGTCAATAATATTATCTGCTATTATTTGACCAAATGTGTTAAGTGATGCATTATTAATGGATTTTATTTGTTTCCATAATCACTAAAATATATACTTTTTTAATCACAACACAATAAGTATTTAAATACATTTTCCAATCAGTTTTGATATTTTAATCATATCGATTCTGTTAGCATGTGTCTCTTGTAAAATATTAGTTTTTATTTAACAAATAATTAAAAATATTTGTTCATTTGATAAAAAAGTAAGATTCCCCAAATTGTGACATATGTCGTATTATAGATGATGTCCAGCACATGGTAGTAGGATGTAGCAAATATGTTGGAGGCAGAGAATCACTGATGTGTGAATTTAAATTGAATGCGTTAGATGTTGTTTGTTTTTCCTCTATTCTAGTGAATCCCACTTCATCTGCAGCCATTGCCCTATACAAGATCTTCATGCATCAGTGATACTTTGACCAATTTAATTAATTAAGTATGGTAGATGTAAGAAATTATGTCCTAATAGGGCTGACATGTGCCCGAACTAAAAGTCCCTAAAACCATAGACAATTAAAAAAATTAACAAACAAACTAGGATGTGCCCTGGACTATTACATAATTATTACAATATTAAGTAATTATCACTTTAATCACACAGCTAATTAATAAGTGATTATATCCAATTGTGTATTGGATGAAAAGCATTAAAATAACATAAAAAATTGTAAGTAGTAAAGTCCAGATCACCTGAATGAAACCGAGATTAGCCACTTGTTCAATAAATAATATATCATAATAATACAACATTACACCTTTTATCCCCCAAGGATTAGGCAGAGGTGCACATTATGGCATTGTACAATGTAACACCCACTTTTTACTATTTATGTTACCTACTATGCCTACCCCTTAAGGGATAAAAGGTGTAATTTGTTATGTTAATAATTTTTCAGCTCATTCGGGATTGTCTTACGGAATGCAACTTGCCAAGTGGTCAGTGCATGATCTGTCTCTTTGGGTTCTGTAAGGGAGACCATTTCGTGAGGACCCAATGCTATCACTATTTCCATAGCCATTGCTTGGCTCTTCACCTGATTTCTGGCAGGCGGTATCATGAGGAGGAGAAATCGGTGCTACCAGCTTGGCAACAGGCGACTAAAGAGCCTTTCAAGGCAAGTTAATATTTTTATTAAGTTCTTATCTGCCGGCTATAACTAATAAAGTAATATCTTTCTAAGAAATGAATGAATAACAGTTTATTTGTACTAACAGTAAAATCGGCGTAAAAAGGCCAGTGCTTAGCTAAAAACTACTGTTACCTTACATCTACTATTAGAATTCTGATGACATGTAATTGTTAGACCTTGCACATCATATCTATTGTATATTCAAGATTTCACAATAAATCTATTATTTTCTAGTTATTCTAAAATCTGTAATTGTTTAATGCATAAAAATAGACTTGCTAACTATGTTAATAAGGTTTGTAGTAAGTAATGCGCATAGAATAACATTTCTAGCATTTTACACTTACAGAGTTAATAAAAATCATGTTTGATTTGAGATCCCAGTGATGGGATTATAACCGCAGACGGGTTACCGGGGCTCCGCCTCGAACTGCAGGAGTAGGAACGGGGTGGTTATCAGTCAGTAAGAGTCTGACAGTCCCTTCCACCTCACCCAGGCGGGAGTAGACATTCGATGATTTCAACCGTTAAAAAAAGGGTGGGGATTATGGCTATGTTCAGTAGTATATGCTCACTGTATGATGATGTGTATGTGTTTATGTGCAGGAGATGTGCCCAGTGTGCCGCGTCATCCTGATCAACATCGACGTAGACGCGCTGGCCAAGGCCCCGCCACCGATGGCCTCGTTCACTGCACCAGCATTCCACTTGACTGAAGAGTTAAAGGTACGTAGTTGTTACCTAGCTGTAGAATTCCTTAACTGTCCTTGGTCAGTTCAATATAGCTTACTCTTTTCTATATGTTACTCATAACCAAACTGGTGAGATGTCATTTGACTGTATTTAATTTATTGTATTCTGGGATAAAGTTTAATTCGCTTTATCTTACATAATGTTTTATAGCCTTCCTCAATAAAAGGACTATTAAACATAAAAGGATTTTCAAATTAAAACCAGTAATTCTGGAAATATGCATTTTTTTATATGTATTTGACGGGCCGACGTTTGACCACTATCTCGCCTGGTGGTAAGCGATGATGCGATCTACGATGGAGCACGTCGTCCCATAAGCAATCTTTTCACTCGGGCCTTGAAGATACTCAGGTCAGGAAACACAGACTCTGGCAAAGAATTCCACTCCTTATATGCATCACGTACTATGCACAAGGAAGCTTGATGCGAAGCGCTTCGTGCGTGTGGGTGGGACATCTACCACGAATCGGTGACGCTTCTCCGATTGTCTTGTGTTACGATGATGGACTAGTATCCGGTACACAACTGAATGGGTGGCAACCTTACCCCTGTGTTCGAGGCTTTGAAGCTGGGCCTCCACAAGCGCATCATCGTTGATGATCCTCTTGCCACGCCTCTGGTATTTAAGCATGTTCAAACAAACTTTTTACCTTTATATTATTAGCAATGATTTATAATAGGTCTCTTTTTGAAAAAAAAACGTTTTGATCGTTTTAATTATTTAACTGATGGAATAAATGGATTTTTCCTATTCATACCCTATCCACAAATGAAATAAAATGATTCTCTTGTTTTAAGGCGCTGCAACGTGAGATGGCTAAGATGATGGCCTACCAAATGGCCAAGGGTGGCATCATTGGGTGCAATGACCCCGGCCCACCACCGCTCACCATCACCACTCCTGAGGACAACGAGAATAATGTAAGTACTTCATTTATTATTGCCACAATTTATTTGGATATATGACAGAAACTGGTAGCAGTCTCTGTCATGTCTCCAAGCCGCCTGCGGGTAGTTAGGGAGCCAAAGGCAACTTTACTCTTATTTGCAGGTTAATACTCCAGTGTGTGGCCCAAGTGTGGACTGTCAATCTATTGATGACGATGATGACAATCCATAACATGCAACTAGTGATTCTAACTGTTTAATCACTGCTTTAAAAACTTTGTAATTTCTTTTTGTTGGGATTCTAAGGCGTTATATTATTTCCAGTTAGTTTGCATAGTGTCATCTCTTCTTTCAGGTGAATAACACTTCTCCAACGGCTGCCCCGGAGGTGGTGAAGGCTCCAAACAACAACGCGATCAACTGCAACGCGCGCCAGACTGGCAACTCCTCCAATGATAACTCCGCTCCCGGCTCCCCCGCGCGCCCTGCCTACCGCGGCCCCTACAGGTAACTAATTACTGGATACTACATAAAAGCCTAAGTAACATCGCATTTTTCAAAAAAGTTATTAATACAAAAGAACCAACTTTTACTAAAATCAATAAAATAAGTATAACTGTGTATACCTTAACATTTTTTGGTATATATTTACAAGTATAGCACTTTATCTCGTGTCCCTACAATATGGTGTGTTTATTACAGGGGTTTCAACCGCCGCGGCAAGCCGGGGCGGCGCGGGCGCGGCGCTGCGCGGTGACCCCGCCCCGCGCGCCCACACTCGCCCCCCGCATAGCTGCATCCCCGCCCCACACGACACCCGCGCTCCAACCGAACTCTGGACTCTGTACACTACATACTGAACCTCGGTCATACATCCCTGGACATTCACACACCCACCCGAGGATATATACACTATAATACATCTTTGCGCGTCGCCCGTACTAACACATCGCGCAAACTAACAGTCACACCAATGACTATCATCATTGATACTCTGTTGTCACTATCCCATGTGACGAGCGCGATCGAGACTACACCGGGGTCTGACACACTTTGTCTGAATACAGGGACTAATTTGCTAAAACGGACTGAACCGAACCTTTCGAGACTGACGATTTACCCTAGTTACTCCATTCTATTTATATTTTTGAAAGCGTTACAAGCGCTTCCTCCTGTGATTCTTAACCATATCGATTGGACCACACAACTCTATGATGTATCCCTGCCAATATTTTACAAATTATTTTGCAAACTAATTGTTTTGTTGTGTATCGTCTGATTATGGCCCCTTTCAGGCTGTCTATTCGCGAAGTAAGTCGTGAGCAGTCCGACATGTTGATTTACTATGAGAGTTATTAACAGATGCGGCAGTACTGCCCAATATTTAGTCATCTGTTCGAATATGTCGGATGTGACACGACGTAATGATCCCTCCAACTACTTAAACGAATATAAACACTGCCATTGTGCCTAACACAATTTAAAAGTTCCTCTTTCTATCACTCATTAAAACTTCGCGATATAGCACATCTGAAAGGAAGTCCCTTAATTGAATACCTACGTTACACTTCTCACTAAGTACCTTCCAAACTTTCCCAAATACTTTTAATTATATTTAGTTGTTTTGTTGAATTTTGTGTGTAGGGCAATCGTCAGTAGATACTCGTTTGTTTCACACTGTTTTTTCAAGTCGACCCCAATGCTCATTCTCAATGAATTCATTGAAAATAATTCCAATAAAAACGTGGAAAATGTTTTGCTCTGTTTACATTGTGCAACTTAATAGATGTCAGTCGCCAATACTAACAACGAAGTACTGTTTCTCGAAATGGTAATGATTTTGCTCATCACTAATAAAGGTGAAAACAGACAAAACACACTCCACATATGAATCTTCATGGATGTATTAACCAGTCAGTATGCAAGATTAACAGATTTCAGAGGGCACATTATGACCTGATACAGCCATCATTGTTCCACTGAGATACAAAGATATAAAGCTATATTCATCATGTAGCGTTGTATCAAGTCTTGGTACAACAATTATGGTTGTAGTACGACATAATGTTGCCTCCGAACACTTCGCGATTACGGCATTTGATGACGACACTGGTCATTCCCAACTATAGACTAGCGTTTAGTACATAGCATTGAAATTGAATCATAAAGAACAAAGAATATAAAAGTATAATAATACTTTAACATTGAAAAATATTACTAATGTTTTATCGTATGAAAATTTTACCGTGTTTTGCTAACGGAAATTTCAATAGAAATATCGCCCTTTATGTTGTGTTCTCAACGCTAGTCCAAAACTGCAATCGAAGCTTTCGTTTTTGAGCTCATCAATGGTGCCACTGGTTGGCGTTAAAAGTCTACTACCGCTGGCCAAACAGAATGATGGCTTCTTATTCTCTTATCTGCATATGGCATATGAGACACAAAACACATTGTGTCTCACGTATGTCTACGTTCTGGCATACCATGGGTTAACCCAGTCCTTAGCACTTGCTTTCGAAACAAAATCGTTACTAAGGAACAGTTTAAGTAATCAGTAAATGTCTTTGTGTACGGAAGTTAGCCAATATGTTTAAGGTCTAGCGACTTGAAGCGATGAATTCAAACACGAAAGCTCTGATTAACTCAACAGCTAGTTGCCAAAGTGGGATGGCACGAAATAATAATAATAACTGTAATAGTCGTTCAATGTACTCTTAGCTTAAGGCACGTTACTGTGACGAGTCTAGTCATCATAAACTAGTATTCCACGTATTAAATTAAATTCATAAATGTAACTACGTGTCAAATGTTTGCATTGTTCCGAGCAATTTAATGCAATGTACATAGGTGTGTTTTCTTTAACAAGAAAGAGGTACTTAAACAAATACTTTATAGTATTATATAGTACTTAAACACTTGAAATCGAAATGCAAACTAACACGCTATTTTAATATCTGATATAATAAATGTCCTCAAACCATATTGTTGCGCCTGACTACAATAATTCGAAAATAAAGTACAATTTTACGGCACTAAAATTTCACAATTTACTGACAACTGTAACAGATAAAAACAGCTACGTGTTCTAGAATTATATATTTACCATCATTTATATTATGTAAACAACAAAATGTGACCAATAGACCTTCAAGCAATAATCAGTGCAAGCGATACATCACAGAGCGTTACGGTTACTGAAAACTCACAGAAAAGGTATTAAAATAGTCCATTTTTGCAAATCTGAATCTTAGCCATACTAAGATTTTGAGTATGTTAGTCTGCCACAGTTCTGTATGGCTATATTGACGATGTTACATAATGTAAAATTGCATTAAATTGACCGAACAGTAAGTCATTATAATAAGAATTACATATAACTAACCTGTCTTAGATTGAATAAGAAATTTCATGTCATTACATAACTTTCTTAATTTTCGTAACAGGGGACAACCCGATTGTTTTGATATTTTTAACTATTTGTTAAATTAATTATAATTATGTACAAAATAAGTTTTTAGATATGATTACGATATTTTTGTATGTGACAAATGAATTGTTATTTTAATTTAAATTATATTTATTTGGACAAGTTTATTGTGTAAGCGGATGGAAGAAAAGTGAACGCGTGTTTCGTGTGTGTTAAGTTAGAAAATTACATTTCCTTATAAAGGTTGTGTTGTAATCTCTTAGGTTTTCTATTTAGATCTCTATCATTATTAAGTCTCGGAATATTCTTAAAAAATATATTTTCAATATACAGTTCCTTGTACTTTTTCTCTAATGAAAATGGTTAAATCTCGTAAATCATAGCAAGAAATCGGCAGCTACTTAGCTTCGTAATGGATCTACGTCAAGTACATAACGACTACTGGCTGAAGGCAGGCGTGTAATAATAAATATTGGAACAATATTCAAAATCTCAATGATCTATAACCTTATCTAAAAAGGAAATCTCTATATTCTATATTCTCTCTAACATACATTACACTGTCGACGCCATCATTAAAATTAAACTTCGTAATTAAATATAATATCTAAAATACCCTTGCCATTTTCTCGCCCTAAGTTATTCTAAGAACTTAACCTCATGTGGTTTATTTTTTTACATATTTTTTTTATAAAACATTCCAACAATGTTTCTGTATATAAATTGAGATTATTTAGTAGTATAATTCTTCTAAACGTGTTTGGGAGCGTGACAAGTTTGGGAATTGGAAAAGTACTTATCTGCACAAGTTTGTGTTTTGTTGTGAATTTCGAGAAATTTTTACAATATCGGTTATTTATTGTATTCGCATATATATTGGAATAGTGTTAGTGCATGCATAGCATAATTTTGGCTTTTTATGGCGCTTATTAGCCATTAGATGTAAGGATTTGGAGGGGTTGTCAGATGCGTTAGATTTGCAAAAGCTTTCGAAGTGATCATGGAAAGCTGAAAGTCTGAGTATAATTATCTACTTACTCATGTAGACCCTAAAAGGGTAGATTGGAACGTTAAATAGCATTTTCGAGCTTTTCGTGATATTTTACAACTTTATCTGGATAGCTTTTTATCAAGATTGACAACCCTGCAAGATGGCGGTTGGCCAGTAATAGTTTGAATTTACGACACCAGTGTAATATGAAGGTTGATAAGATCCGGTATATTGCAGTTTTATAATCGTAATTTTTATCTATATGTAATTTATGTGTAGTAGTAATTAATTAATAAAACTTACCAAAGATATTTGTGTTTTATTTCTATCATGTTAACGTACCTTCATGCTTAGTATTAATTTTAAGATAAGTAGAAGTTAATAAATAATAAGTTATGACACGCTGTTTGTCAGTTAATAGTGCTAAACAACATAGCAACCCTATTATTAGATATGAATAGGTATTTATCAACATTCTAAGTTGCATGGAAGGTATCGCATAATTGCTCTTAAACTTTAACGTAGGTACATTTTCTTAAGCCTACAATTTTAAATTTAAACTCTAAATAACTCGCATATACATTTAAAGATTAATTTAGAATCAAGATCATATTTGACAGCGTGAAATGTCCGCTCCCACATAAGGGCAAAGCCTTGAGTTGTTTCCGATAGAAGTAGGTACATATTATTGTAGTTATTTGCATGTCTGACCTACACACTTATGGGCATGACTGAGATGATTCCTGTGTCGTTTGATAGCTAACGACCTCGAAAAACTTTGGATTTATGGTTATAAGAATTTGTAGTTTATAGAACTAATATACCTAGCCCTAACGCTGAAATAGTCAAATGTGACTCAAGCAATGAAGTCGCGGTTAAGTTTTTGAAATAATAGAGATAGCATGATACTTAAGTAGGTACAACTTACAATTGAGTAGGCTGTTAGTATTCGAGCGTTAAAAAACTAGTGCACAATATAAACAGTCGTTGAAGTAAAAACAAACGAAATAAACGACTAGATAAGAAAAACTTTAAATGCTATTTATTATTGAATAGAATTGCTGTTCGTTAGTCTCGATAAAACTCGAAAATGGCTGGACCCATTCGGCTAATATTGTTCTATTTTTTTTTTGTGGAAATTCAGGGAAGGTTTTCCTAGTCAATTAGTTATAACAAATAATATTACTTATAATCCTTATTAATATTATAAAACAGAAAGTGAGTTTGTTTGTTTGTTCCGCTTTCACGCTGTAACTACTAAACCGATTGCTTTGAATTTTGGCAGATGTAAAGTTAGAAGTCTGGATTAAATAATAGGGTACTTTTTGTGCCGGAAAAATTCGATATTCTCGAGGGAAAACGAAATTATTGGTATAGATGGCGCTGTGTGTATTGGAATATGTCATTTGGCTACTTTTTTCCTTTTGTGACGCGAGCGAAGTCGCGGGTAAAAGCTAGTTGATTAATAAATATGAACGTTATACCCTTTCAGAGCATTATTGTTAAAGTATATTTAAATGAGTCGTACCTACGTCCTTATGAGTCAGTGTCGACGCGTGCGCTCAGATAAGGTGAAAACATGCGAAGGCGAGTTTCTCAAGTGATGAGTAATATAATTATAATCTGAGGGAGGCTGTGTTGACGAGATGTTAATGACGATATGCAAAGATAAAAGAATCACAGCGTTTTTATTTTCATTATAAACGTCAACTTAATGTAAGGAAGTATTTCTTTTCACGGTCCATGGAATGGACACTCGCAACACCAGAGAAGTTACCAACGCGTTGCCGGCCTTTTAGAAATTGGGGATGAGAGGAATATTAATTTAAAACTTCGGTAACCTCACTCACACGGCGAAAACCACGCAAACGTTGTACCATGTGGGTTTTCTTTCGTCAAAAAATGCATATACCTAGGTAGAATACCTACGCCTAAAATAGATTTTTTCGCTTCGTTAAGTTGATACAAACGAGTAAGGACACCTTTTTTAAAAATAAAGCTGCCTTTTTTTATGAAAAGGTCATCTTTATTTGCTTAGAGGCGGGAGAACTTCTGCCTATTAATGGCTAAATGGTACAGGAAAAATTGATTGATTGAATAGTACAGGAAGACATGATTTGTGTTTAACTAGCTTCTACTGCCACATACTATGTATATACCTACATAGGTACCTACTACACTATAATCTTTTATTGTTCTTCGTTAGTCTCGCTAAAACTCGAAAACGGCTGGACCATTTTTATACATATTTATTTATATTTATTTGCCATTAAATTAAGAATAAACGTAAATCTACGCAAGACACAATGTATTTTCTATTGTCTTATATGTATGCCAGCAGTCAAGAGGTTAATACGTACATACCTACCTAAGTAGGTACACTACACATAAGATTCATGAACAGCCTTTTAAAATACAACAGATATAGGTACGTGTCGCGCAAATTAATAGCCAATTAAGGGCGATCACGTCCCACGTTTGTAAGGGAACCCAACATCTGCAGAATGCTATACGTAGAGCTAGAAAATTTCCTGTTAGCTAAATAAATATACTAAGTACTTACATACCTACCTACCTTAATAACGTATCTAGGTATCTGTAACAAATGTAAGAGACCTACCCATTAAAATAAATACTTTTTAGTCAATTGTCATAAAATTAAATCCGGTTGATTTAGACGAAAACATTAATCGTAGCCATTAAATGTAAAAAATATAGGTACCTAATTAAAAAGAAAACACAAATGGCATTTCTAATTTTTTTGACCCAGTGTGGCCGGTCTCTTCTGTCCGTGAACAGAAGAGGTTTTATTTACTTAATACAAAATTAATAAATTACATTATTATGTAAACCTGATTTTAAACATGAAATAGGTATAGGTATCTCGTAGCTAATTAAACGTATATACTTGTAATTTAATGAATACCTGGCCGATTTAGACAAAAAAATCATACCTAGCCATTATATGACAAAAAGAAATAAAAGAAAATAAAACGCAAATGGCATTTTTAATTTTTATATGCCATTTATGACCAGATCGTTTTCTGTGCCTGTGTAAAAAGGTTTTATTTTATTTATGCTAATATTATTTTAGATTAATGCAAGTATTTCGTGTGGGTAATTTCGCGCCATCCAATGATTGATTATTCAAATAAAATTAGTGACATCCGTTGGTTAAAGCAGTCCGTAGCGGTACGTTTGTATAATATTGTTTGCTTTATTAAACATAAAATTAGAAAATGTAACGTTGAAAAATCTACTGAATTGAACTTTCAGTTTAACTCGTCGAGTACCGGTTTTATAGACACAATTAAAGAACAATAGGTCGCGGTCACCGGTGACCGCTTGGTGTTTGACAGTTTAAGCAGTATGTAAACATAATACTTTTTAAAATTATGGACCCTTTTATAGCTTGAAACTAGTCGAGCACCCTTCGTTACTCTCCTTGGACAATTACTGAGTAAGCCTAACAGGAATCTCACTGTAGGTCAATACAAAACAATAAATGAATTACTTAACATTACTGAAGATTTAATTTTGATACTTTATTGACAAAAATACCTACAAATTAGGTATAGTTTGTTCGGTATTTGTATAGGTACTATGGCGTATGGTGCAATTGTCGTATTCCGTTCTCCTCGGCCTCAGTTTCATTGCATTCATCAATGATTACCATACCTACATGTATAATGTACGAAACTTTGTCAGACGTGCTAGTTCCGTTCCGCGTGAGCCATTTCCTTTGACTTATCGCTCTACGCTCGCCCAGTCTGGTTTTCAAGCGGGCCGAGGCAGAACGTGTCCTTCCTTTGCCTTTATCGCGCAGTGTAGCCAAAAAGTATTCATTATAATATTTCGCGCGCTTTACTTAATTTCAAAAACAGAACGGTGTATTTTATCTTGTAAATTTCTGCATTTAAAATCAGATTTATAAAAATGTGTTTGTGTTAAAATTGTTAGTTGTAAGATTATTTTGTGGTGCTTTTATAATAATAGTGTTAAAAGAAAATGTCTACATTATTGAAGAACGTAACCAATTGCATCTGGCATGCTTTTGACTCGTTGCAAAGCAAAGATGTCGTTCATAAGTCGAAATTAAAGGTATGTTAATTAATATTTTTCTTACTTAAACTAATTTTAGGTTCGTAATAATTTTTCAAGATACATTTTATTGTTCTAAATTTCTATAGTGTTAATCAAGAAATCTTGTAGAATTTGAGTCTCATGGACCTGTTGAAGTATTATTATTTAGTAAAAATGAAAACTTTTAATGTGCACATAGTTAGGTAGTAGATAAGAAGCTCCTTTATTTTGTAATAATAGCCTTATCAGTCTAATGGTAAAAATGCAACACCTGAGCAACCTACGTGACGACCAAAATCCAAATCTGGGTTATTCATTTTGTTTCAAATGAGATCGTCAGTTTTGGCATGGAATATGGAAAGATGGAAAGATCTACCTAGTAAAAAATATGACTTATAAATAATATTAATATGTTCAAATTATTAGACTTCACCCTATGTTAGATGCTCTCAAAATATTGTAACAAACAAGTTGGAACGACAACAACAATCTTAATCCTGGCGTTATGATTCATTATTTTAACTTTAAATGGTTACCTTCTTATTATTACACTGACACGTCACAATTTTATTCAGTAATAACGTAACGTAATTATAATAAAGATAAAATAAATAAATAAGTAAGTACGGTATCTACTACCTGGGCATAATTGAACTATTGTGTTATTGAACCGTTATACTTGATTATGAAATAAAATATAACAGATAATATAATAGGGATAACAAGCCTTTTATTTACCGGAAGGGTAAAGGTGCAGATAGCAAATAATGACACTTAGGTAGGTACTTTTCCATACTAGAATTAAACCTGTAACTTGTCCTGATAGTGAAGGACAGTTCTTTTTACTCCTTTATAATCTACGATTAAAAAACCAACATCTATCCCCTCTTTTTTTAAGTTAGTTAGGTAAATAATTTATCTTCTCCTAAGTGTAACAAACGCTTTTCTGAAATCCGCATCAAAATCAGTTCAGCCAATCGTGAGATAATCGCGCACATATAAACATATACATACATAGGTACCTACATGTCAAACTGACATACATAGTAGAATACAGATTAACACTAGAAAGACCGGAATTTCGAACTACCTATAAAGACCAAGTGGGGTCAAATGACACCTTCATGGGTTGTAATGTTTTATTCGTGTATTATGGTTTTAAGTTTTATTGATTAGCATCCAATAATGAATAAAATAACTTAATAGTAATTAAACATCTATTTATTGATAAAAAATAAAAAAATTAGGCACATTTTTGACATTTTAGCTCCTTGTTTACATTACAAGAGCCACACAAAGGCTTTTTACAACTAACACAAGATTTATTGGTTTTGTTTTTGCATTTTTGTACGTAACACCGTTTCCTCTTTCCACTACGTTCTTCTAGAGGCTCTGGGGGTATGTCTCCGTGTTTTGTTTACCGTACCAACTATTGATGTACGTTTTTCAATTAGCTTTTTAGCCAAACTTACACTGGTGAAAAAATTATCAGTTGTTATATTTCGACCAGTATTCAAGTATGGATCCATTAGTCGCAATACAACCCACTCGCCTAAACTTTGATTTTGTGGGCGGCTTTCATCTCTTCCTAAATATGGGAAACCATTACCTACATAAGTACTTTGAATCAACATCAACGCAAAGCCAAAACTTAATTCCAAACTTGTCTGGTTTGTTACCCATGAACTGCAAAAATCTACACCGAACTTTTGTGGAAAAAAGCTGTTCGTCAGCAGTAAGGTTTTCACCAGGCTTGTAACATGAAATACTGTTATGGATGAACTTATTCTATACTTCCGAAATCGTTGCAAATTTATCTGTTTGCAGACGTTCAGCCCTTTCTGTCCGCACATCGAATCGCAGGAAACGCATTATTTCTTTGAAACGATTCCGAGCCATGTTCTGTGAACAAAACTGAATACCCCAATTTTTGTCCCAAAGATCATTCACAGCAATATTTTTAGCCCCACAGGCTTCTCGAGCGTAAATAATTGCAATAAAAGTATCTAATTCATTCAATGGGAGTGACCAAGTATTATCTTCAAGTTGGCGACGAGCTTCGGTTTCAGTAAATTTCTGAATATGTCGCAGTATGGAGTCATCAATGATAAGTTTCCATGCAGATAAAATACCTCCTTTATAACACCTTTTTGCAAAAGAAGTTGGTCCAGCTTCCTCTGTTAGAATATTCTGTCGTGGACGACGACCAGGCTGATTCAAAACTGATAAGTTTCCAGGAGTCCAACTGATACCGGTAGAAGATACCTCGACACTGATGTCTTCACTTCCTGAGTCTAAATGCAAAATATGCCTCTCTTCTTCAGTCGCTTCACAATCGGATTGGTCGTCCGGTAAATTTTGCAGCACTTCCAATATTTTAGAACGCGAAAGGGAACGATAATTAGGCATTATAATTATATTATGGCGAGCCGTGATATATACGTCTTTACTTTGACAAGAACAAAACAATAAAGAAATGAAATATTTTATTTCAAGTACCCACTACAAGAGGATATTCAACGAAATAATACAAAGCACGCATACATTGGTGTCAAATGACCACTTCGGTCTTTCTAGGTAGGTGATAATTTTTAATTTGTATTTATCTAGCTATCGATATACACATATCAGAATAATGTAAACAATGACGAAATATTAAAAGTCATAAAACGACACTAACTTCATTGTTATGGTTTTGTTATTATGATTGATCAAAGACTTCATTGGGGTCATTTGACCACTCTGGTCTTTCTAGTGTTAAACTGTCAAACACCGAGCGGTCACCGGTAACCGCAACCTATTGTTCTTTAATTGTGTCTTTATTGACGGTACTCAAAGAGTTAAACTGATCTCCTTTGATGAACCTCCTTCTTTGAAGTTGGTTAATAGAGTTTTTTCTTAACCCGTCGAGCGTCCGTGTTCCTTATGATCCAACGGGTGCACACGTGACGTTTGGAGAAAGAAAGAAATAAAGAAAGAAAATGCATTTATTTGGCCATTGGCACACGAAAACAAGGATCATTACAATAGAAATAAAAAATACAGTCAAAATAAAAACAAAACATTAATAACAGATTTTATAAAAGAGAAAGCAGCATGGAGCATTTTTTCTTATGATCCATCGGGTGCTTATAAGGACGCTCAAGGGGTTAAAGATAACCTAATAAGTCAATTTGGTAATTTAACATTAGGTACTTATCTACGTTACACAATACAATATATACGTATGACGCTATGGACTAGCTTTCATCCCGTGGCTTCGGCGTACATAACCTAATCACCTACATCTTCCGCAGGTGTCCCTCTATATAGCTAAAAGAGGTTATATTGTATCCTATTGGAGATTTTTACCAAAAATCTTTCAGCACTCTTTCTTTATACAGGTAGACGCGGAGAGATTTTTTCATAATATTATGTAGACATTCCATCGCTACAAATATTACGTGTAGATAATTGATTTTACTATTACCTAATGTAAAGGCGATAGGTACCTACGTACCATATAGGTATATACCTATACCTAAACTAGATAAGTTTTACCTACTTCATTCTGAATTTCAACATTAGTTAATCTAAAACTGTTTTATATTGACAGTTGAAGGTTATAAAATAAAATTGTTGTACAATTTTTATCTGGATAATAATATTTTGTTTGTGATAAACTTATCCTGTAGTTTATCTCCGAACATTGTATTGTAATGTTGATAAAAAATTTAAATACATATTGATTGACATGTAAAATAAACTGAGCTTGAATAATCGTAAGCAACGCATGAAAATATTTTTGTTAGCTGCAATCGTTGTCTTAATGCTTTAACTGTTATTGCTTATTATGTTAATTGTAGAATTACATGTTACCTCGTGTTCGTTGTCGTTTTTATTTAAAATAATGTATACCTTCCAATTTTCTTATAGAACCGAAAAGCACTTCAGTTTATTTATATTGAGGAAAAAATTATTCAGTGATGACATCACACAAATGTATATTGTTCTTGAAAATTAGCTTAGCTACATTAGTAAGAGCGTAGATATGTATGTCATTATGTAGATACCTATTTCTTTTTATTTAAACACGACTGGAATCAACCAATTCAACCACATCAATGTAGGTCTGTACCTAAGTTAACTAAAAATCGCGGGTTACTCGGGGGGAATATAGGTACTGAGCAAAGCTCTACTAGTTTCGAACCACAGCGGGGTTCCTTATGAGCAGCGTGCACGGTCGCGGACGTCGCGCACGCTCAGTAAGTACATAAGTACCTTAGGTACTTACTGTAGTTTTTAGTTAATTTAGTATGTCTCACGAGAATTATTATAAAAAACGTACCTAAGTGTTTACCTAAAATTTGCATAAAAATGTGCGTCTTCTTTTCGATTATAATAAAAGGTAATAAGCTATCTAAATATATGCATCCTGTTTGCCTATCCATTAGCATAGGCACGCGAGATATTGTGTACTTAGTCGTTTCAATTTACCCTAGCTAAATGTTTTTATACCTAGATAAGTTCATAAACCTTAGACTTGAAACATATTAATTACTTTTTTAAACTTTCTAGCTTCTTTGCTGAATAAACATTTCTGGCTAACGGCGAATTATTTACTCTTAGTCAAATGCCAATAATTGTTATTACGTCTCCTAATCACTTCCTAAGAAGGATGAAACGAAAAAAACCAGACTACTCTATTAATTTCAAGCTTGGTCAGGAGCTCATAATGATGAGCAGCATGCGCGACCACAGACCCTTATCTATTTCACGTAATTAATTTAACATATCTATCGATTCACGATGGTTATACCGACGTAAATGGCTCTTGCCAGGTGAGAAATTCTATAATTATAAAACATTTCATACCATATTCGCTGTTGACACAGAAAATGGCTCTTCAAAGCATCATAAACATTATATTGTTTCCCTCAATGACCGTACTAGGATGGTAATATCAAGTAAATAAAGTTTATTTGCATTTTTATTGCAAAATGTGACTATCTAGCGATAAGTAATGTAAATGCCTATGT